CTTTTCAGCCTGGCAGAGTGGCCAAACTAACCAATCCCAACATCAGAATTCTATATACCTGAGAGAGAGTGAACTTCCCAGAAAATTGCTTAGTGCTGGTTCAACAGAAATACCCCAGGGGTAACTTTAGCAATCAGGCGCTACTCAGTTGCTCATGACAAATTCCACCATGGAGTTTATAAAGACTTATGGCTAGAAAAGCCATACTATGTAATTTACTACACCACAGTGGTTAAAGCATTCAACCACTAGCCAAAAGGGCACCAGTTTGAACCCACCAGCTACTCTGTGGGAGAAATATAAGGCAGTCTACTTCTGTAAAGATTTACAGCCTTGGAAACCTTATGGAGCAGTTCTACTCTCCAAGAGGGTCACTATGAGTCAGTATCAACTCGGTGGCAGTGGCTTTGGGTTTTTTTGTTTGTTTCTTTGTTTGTATCATTTAAGTTATTTTAAATATTGTTTAATGTGACTTTTTATTCTTTCATATGTGTCAGTTTTATCTTCATCTCATCCCAGTAAGCCTCCAACAAAGGAGTGGAAATCTCATATTGTATATCCTAGCATGCTATCAGTATGGTATGGGAACAAGAACAGTGAAGGGGGTCAGCAGACAACAATTCTAGTTCTAGCTTTATTGCCACTTTCCCTCAGACTTTGGACCTCACTCTCCTCATCTATAAAATATGGGACTACTGTAATGTACCCTTGTGAACTTTCCTAGAGCTGAAAAGAGCAGCAAGGGCCTGATATCTGGACCTCACACTGCAGCTTGGCAACCAAGGAAGCAGCATCCCTCCTAGGTATCTGGAGCTCTCCATGCATATCTGTGCCTATTCACAGGGTGACTCTCAACAATAATGGTCCATTTCCCTGTTACAATTTGGTGAATGGACCTCTCTCACTGTTGTATCCCAGTGTCTAGTACATTGTAAAAATGAAACAAAATAAAAACTCATTGCCATCAAGTTGACTTGGACTCATGATGGCCCCAGGTGTTACACAGTAGAACTGCTCCCTAGTGTTTTCTTGGCCGAACTCTTTGAAGAAGCTGATCATCAGGTATTTTTATTATTATTATTATTTATGCAGAGCCACTGAATGGGTTTGAACTGCCAATCTTTAGGTTCGCTGCCAATTGCAAACAAATTGCACTACCCAAACTCCTTGTTGTAGGTGCCCAATAAATAGCTATTGAAAGAATAAACTAATGAAGAAATAAATGCATCTTGGTTAAAGGTTCAGGTCAAAAGTCTCTCTCAGATGTGACTGGAGATGGGAGAATAAGGCTAGAAAACAAGAAGGAAGAAGTCCAAGTTCATGAGATACTGAGGCAGTCCCAAACCCAGCATGGGGGTAAGGCTACTGCTTCTAGTGGTTACTTCCCAGTTAGTGACACACACCTCAACCTGCCCCCACAAACTCCAGGCCCCAATAATGAACCAATGAGATGGTGTCAACAGTGTCCTGACGTGCACCAGTATTACCCAGCCTATGCCCACAAGCTGTTGCTACATGCCAACACTTACCTTGCTGAAATTTCTAGGTATTATACTCCTTGGTTCAGTCTCTTGGTCCCCATCTCTGAGGAAGAGCCAGAAGACCATTCATTCCTCTTTCACTTTCCTCTTCCAGAAACCTTCTATTTGGTAGCTCCCTCCAGCATAGGCAAGACTTTCAAATGCTCTCTAGATAGCAGAGAGGCTCGCCCATGATCTCAGCCTCAAGGAGGAAGCAGTTCAGAGAATAGTGAAGAATCCTAATCCTGAGAATGTGTAAGATTAAAGTGATTAGAGGTGCATGGCCAAGACACACCTAGAATTCTTTCTTGCCCTTTGGTCACTTTTGGTGGGGATGCATCTCAGCCATCCCACTCCCTCAGCCTTCAAACATGCCTTGTGTCTCCCTGCCTTGTTTTCTATGTCCACTAACCTCACAACCATGATCATTCCTCAGCCCAGTCTCTGGAATCCATCACCTGCCAAGTGCCACAGTGTTCCTCTGAGGATGGAAGAGAGGGATCAGAAGAGGCAGGTAATAGGGAAATTGAAGACATTTGGCTCTCCCAGTTTGGCCTCTAGAGCACATACCATGGCCCTTGAATCCACCACTTCCCAAAACCTCAAGAAATATCTCCCAGACAGACTCAATAGTATAGAGTTAGAGAGACTTGGGAATGTTTGGAGGAAGGAAAAGAAATAAATAAGACAAATTTCCCCTTTAAGTGAGAAAACCTCTACTGAGTGAGCTTTCATCACAATTCTAGGGTGATATGATGCAAGTTGGAGACACGAGAAACAGAATTCAATGAACACCCAGAACACCAGAAAACCAAAACACGTAGAAAAATACACTGAAGTACAACTAAATACAGGAGTTTTAAATGAACAAGTGAAAAATGCTCACCCTGGGAGGTAGTGTATCTTAAAAAAGCTCCTGAGGGAATGACTACCCTAAGCTTTAATGTAGACATCATCCACCAGGGTAAAGGTAATACTGAAGAAAAATGTTCAGAAAGGAGCAAGTAAAGGAGAAAGAGAGGTGAAAATTTTATCTATTTCAATCTGTTTCACCAAAGTTATTTAAACACTTCTTGCTTCATAAACAACAATCCTGGTGGAAAAATTAGAGACTGGGAGGGAGAGAAAGAGATAAATGGATAATCTCACACAAGAGGCAATGGTTGAGAAAAAGGAAGATGGAAACCAAATGAGATGACAATGCCTAGAAATGGAGGTCTCAGGACAGGGTATGGGAAAGAGGAATAACCCAACAGGATAGGAAGCCTGGAGGGAGTTTCCCACATGTGGAGATCAGTGGGAAAATGCCTCAGCAGCCTCCATTCTGATGAGCATGCCAGATAAGGCACTCTTTCCCCAATCTTTGTTTGGTGGAAAGCTCTGCACAGCGTTTACTCATTACTGCTCAAGAAACAAGTATCTCTTCTTTTGGGAGAGAGATTATCATGAACTAAGGAGTACATAAAACAAAAACAATTATTATTTCCACTCCAGGAGCTTGCACCACCCTGAGTAGGACCTAGGCACATTGGCAACCAGCTGAGAGAGGCCTCATGCTCCTCTTGGCCTATATCAACAAAAGCTATGATTCACTGTTCCTTGTGGAAACTGAGACTCTGAAACAATCTCTAGATGACAGAGATACTTACCCCTGGCCTCAACCTCAAGGAGGAAGTAGTTCAGAGAACAGCGAACCACCCCTCCAGATGCCAACCTGCCATTCCAGGCAAGCAAGAGTGTCTGCCAGTCCCTTAGTTACCCTCGTGCTTCTGAAAGGACATCCATGAGGAAAGACCATAGGATTTGGGTCTGCTTCTCACTAGGGAGGCAATGTTGATCTGTTTAAGTATTCATCCTGGGGCGCAGTTTCCTCATCCACAAAATGAAGAGTGTAGACTCCATTTCATCTTGTTCTTCCATCCTTCAAAATCACATTAAGAAGCACGAGGTCAGTGAGCTAAGAGAAGATTTAATAACGTTGCTGTTTTACGGGTGTGTGAATTGAGGCTCAGAGAAGTTTCAGAACTTGTCCAAGGTCTAGTGGCAGGGTTAAGACTCAAACTCAAGTCATGTTAGAGATGAGGAGATCAGATGGAGAAAAAGGGAGATGAGGAGCCTTGTAGACTCCCTACCAGTTTATAGAACAATGGGAAGTATCAGACACAGTCAACAAGACTTAAGGGGGGAAAAAAGGAATGAAAATGTAATACCTACTACAAGGCACAACCATTGAAGTTCTTTCAATGAAAGAGAAGAGTGTGGGATTCCTAGTTCTCTGGAAGAGGAGTGGGAGTTTGGGAGACTTCTGGGATGAGGAGGCCTTAAATAAAGCTTGGAAGTAGAGCTTTAACGTATATTGTCTTGTTTATTATTTAATGCTCTTCAGTTTTGTCTTCCAAACAGGACCATAAGCTTACTATTAAAGAAAAAGAACACAGATTGTGCTTCTTTTGAATTCCCACAGGACTTGTCACAGGACTTGATACACAGCTGGCCCTTCATTAACACTCACTTAATTGTACTGGAAGAAGAGAAGACTAAACAAACATTTACTCAGCATTTAATGTACCAGGCATTGCAAAAGTTATTTTCACATGTTAGGTCACTTAATACCACAAACCCCATTTTACAGATGCACAAATTGAGGCTCAGGAGCTTCATAACTTGCCCAAGATCTAACAACTAACAAAAATGATAGGGCTCGGATTCAAACCCAAGTCTTTCTGCTTTCACAACTACTCTCAAGAGAAGGCACAGGGTCTGACCTTGAAAGCTGCATTATACTGAACTAGGCACACATGCACACACACATTCATGCTCTGGAAAATCATTTATGACTTACACAACAGAAAAGCTTAAGAACATAATAAAGGAACAATCAAAACTGGATGGTTTTCTAAGGAAGATGTGTGTAGAGCAGGATTATCCAGATCTGGAGGGAAGGCTTGGGGTGGGTGGGGTGGGGGTTGGGGTGGGTGTAGCGGCTGAGAAAATGATCAGGAATAGAAAATAGGAAACAGTACATAGCAGTAGTCTGTACTGACATAAGATGGTTGGACAGGAAACAGTGCATAGCAATGTTTGAACAGGAAGGAGTCAGTCCCAGGCCTAAGAAAGTATTTTGGAAATGAGACAGTGTTTTTTTCAAGTCCATCATAGGATGCATGATTAGGCCATGACTGAAAGCAATTAATGTGCTTCTCACTCCTCTGCTGATCAAGTTGTGACTAGAAAGGAGTTTCCACATGGGGGGAGGGTTGGTAACCAACCAGTGGCTTTGACACCATTTTCAATGGGGTGTTGAGTATGAGCTCAGGGCTGGGGATGCCTAGGGGATGCCATCAGCAAGCCCTCCTCCATTAGTAGTGCTCCTCCCCTCCTGGAGAAACATAAAAGACAAGGGGGCCAGGGACTCCTCAGAGTCTGTGTCTCTTCTATCCCCCTTCACTCACCTCCGCCCAGGGCTTCTTTCCACAGCCTTCCTCATCTACCATGTCCCGGCAGTCCTCCATCACCTTCCAGACCAGCAGCCGCAGGGGCTTCAGCACTGCCTCGGCCATCACCCCTGCAGCTGGAGGCTCCCGCTTCAACTCTGTCTCAGTGGCCCGCTCCTCAGGCAGCAATGGAGGATTGGGGAGGATCAGTGGCACAGGGGCTGGCTTTGGAAGTCGCAGCCTCTACAATCTGGGGGGGACCAAGCAGGCATTGGTCAGTGGGTGCAGCTTCCGGAATGGTTTTGGCAGCAGAACTGGCAACGGGTTTGGCTTTGGAAGTGGGGTCAGCAGTGCATTTGGCTATGGAGGTGGGGTTGGAGGGAGCTTTGTGGGTCCTAATTTCCCTGTTGGCCCCTCCGGTGGCATCCAAGAGGTCATTGTCAACCAGAGTCTCCTGACTCCCCTCAACCTGCAAATTGACCCCGCCATCCAGAGGGTACGGAAAGAAGAGCGGGAGCAGATCAAGACCCTGAACAACAAGTTTGCCTCCTTCATTGATAAGGTGAGACAAGAATCTCTTCTGTTTGACTGGGTTTGGGTTGAAAGCACTCTGAGAGGCCCAGACCCAGAAGGGAGTACAATAGTGTAATGGCCTCTCTGTGGGGTAGTGCATGTGTTCATGCAATCCCATAGAGCTGAACATTTTAGTCAGGCCAGGTTGCCCCACAGAATCTTCCAGAATTTCTTATTGACTTCCTTTACAACCATGTGGTATGGTTCAGAGCCAACACATAGGGCAGAATTAAGCTGTTTCTCCACAAGAAGGAGTATTTCCACTAAAAAGATAAACTTAATCAAGAGCAAACAAGTAGTGTCGAGAAACTCAACTCAAGAATACAGGGTGCTCTATACAAACTTCTAAGCTCCAGTACCCTAATTCTATGGAGGCCCTATGGGACACTGGAGTAGTTGCATGGGCTTCCTCATATTTGGTTGAAGTTGTCAATTATGTAGTTGCAAGATATATGTCAGGTAAAAAATATCTTTCTTTTCTCCCTCTAATCAATAGGAGTGTCTGGCCATGCCTTCTCAGCTTCTCAAGATTTGAATCTCTTCTTCTCCCCTCCAGGTGCGGTTTCTAGAGCAACAAAACAAGGTCTTGGAGACCAAATGGAACCTTCTGCAGGAGCAGGGTTCCAAGACCATAAGGCAGAACCTGGAGCCCCTCTTTGACACCTACATCAGTGAGCTCCGACGACAGCTGGAAAATGTCATCACTGAGAGGGGCAGGCTTGATGCTGAGCTGCGGAACATGCAGGATGTCGTAGAAGACTTCAAAGTCCGGTAAGTGGGGAACAGGCTTCTGGCCACACGTGGATGTCACAGAACTCTTTTTAAAGAAGACTAGAGAGGTGCTCTGGTAGCATAGTGCTTAAGGCACTTGACTGCTAACCAAAGGCTGGCGGTTCAAACCCACAAGCCACTCCTCGGAAGGAAGATGGGGCAATCTACTTCTGTAGTGATACTGCCCCGGAGACTATGAGTCGGGTCTGACTCGAGGGCACATAACAACAACAACAACAACAGAGAGGTGCAAAAGAGCTAATGTCAACACCAGCTAAGAGCTTTGGAACTTGCAGTCATGGTGTGGGGTCACCAAGAAACCTCATCTCATGCAATTTTTAGTAACAAGAAGTCTATTATTATCCATCTGCATGCCTAAAAAAGATAATGGCATCAAAAAAAAAAAAAAAAAATTACTGCCCATGCTGGAAAGTGTAATATTTATTTCCCAGTCAGTATGTTATTTCACACCACTGGATATGAGCCCGTTTACTGAGATGATTTGTATTCCCAGGATGCACATTAGCTGAGGAGTGAAGAGAGTTGGCAAGTAAAAAGTAGGCATATAAACAAGGCCATCTGACCCTTCTCATGAGGCATATTTTGACTGTACATCATTTGGGCTATAGTAGATGAGGTATCCAATGGAAAGAGATGGTCCTAGCTAACTACTTAGCAGGCTTACCTTGGGTTTCTGAGTTTGCCCTAGTTACAAAATGTACATTACTCAACTGCCACCCTGAGGTTCAGTGAATATATATAAAAAATCTACAGAAACAGTCTCCTGAACAGATCAACTTTATTGCACAGTTTCAGCAAGCACTTGAGGTAGGAAAAAATAAAATAAAATAAAGATTGGAACTATCCATCTACAAGAAGATGGAGTTGCATATGTACATATATCTATTCCCATAAGTTAAATGATCACTTTCTAGTGTTGCCAAAAAAGAAGAAGAAGAAGAAGAAGAAGAAGAAAACCCTTCAGACAAAAGAGAATATTTCTGTTTTATTATTTTATAGAGGGAGACATAGAGGTTAAATGAATCACACTCAGTCACACATAGGTCAGCGGACGAGTTGGAAAAGATTTGTGATCTCTTTGCTCTTACTGCACCATTACAGTCATCTCTGGCCTGGGGAAGAGTTAAATTGAATGCTTGCTCAACAGCATACTTCCCTCCCCCTCACAGGTATGAAGATGAAATCAACAAGCGCACAGCTGCTGAGAATGAGTTTGTAGCCCTGAAGAAGGTGAGTGGAAATGTCTCTCTGAGGAGAAGATTCAAAATGGAATCTTAGAGTGTAGCAGCCTGACACTAGGGCCACCCAATAAAAGTCACAGCAACCTTGAGACTATCTGGAGAGCTCACAGCTGCTAAAACACTCCTTCTGTATTTATGGGCCCATGACCCTGCTTATGTTTCTGTGAGTGCAAAGAACTTAAGCTCCTGCTACTCAGTGAATCACCAACCCTCAACCACCATCCCTTCCAAACAGAGTTTACTAAAAACCAGCCTAGAATGGGCAGAGAAGAGTTTTCCCGGCTTCCTTTGGGCACCCTGCTTGGTGCCAGAGTCTCAGAGGAGCATCCTGTACTGTCATTCCAGGACGTGGATGGTGCCTACATGAAGAAAGTGGAGTTGGAGGCCAAGGTCAACTCTCTGACTGATGAGATCAACTTCTTACGGTTGCTGTATGAGGCAGTAAGAGTCTGCAAATGTTTTCTTCCTCCTAGGTTTGAAGCCTGGAAAGATATGAATGTTCCAGAAAGTGTCATCCACTAAGTTCCTCTACCTGACATTATGGTCCAAATAATCCAAGCTGGGGCTTGAGGGCAAGTGGCGATTAGAGATAGTGCTTGAAACCAGGTCACTGAGTAGCATTCCCAACTTTTCCCTTCTCCCTCCCAGGAAAGCTCAGGAAGGTCAGCTGCCTCACGGTTCAATGGCCAGGTGCTTCTTGCCTTCTGATGATGCCCCATTCTGGTCACTTTGAAGGCAGAGAGCAGGGTCTGTGGAAAGGGAGGGAGAATCAGAGAATGATGAGGTCACAATATACAGGGGGCACTGCATCCTAAAAAATCACTCAATCCTAAAGAAACCTTGTATGCTGGCATATGAACAACATGCGGCATATTCAAATCTACATTATTTGAATACAGAGAACACTTACCTAATCTTCACACGAGAAGCTCACAGATGAGAGCTTTGAAAAGTGATGCTGGGAAAACACTCCCATCACACTAATTATGTCCCAGCATTGGTATGAGACCCCGTTAATGAAAGTGATTAAGCAGGGAAGAGCTGGAAGAATATCTGCTGGAATACCAAAGAAGGGATTCCTGACCTAGTAGGTAGTCTGTTAAGTGATCTCAAGAGCCCTTCCAGCTCAGAGGTTGTAGGTCTTGGTGATGCTAAGTTTATTATTTCTTCAGGATCTGTCCCAGATGCAGAATCAGGTCAGTGACACATCTGTGGTGCTGTCCATGGACAACAACCGCAGCCTGGACCTGGACAGCATCATTGCTGAGGTCAAAGCACAGTACGAGGACATCGCCAACCGCAGCCGGGCTGAGGCTGAGTCCTGGTACCAGACCAAGGTGAGTGTGGCCACTTCCACGATAGTTTCCGGTTCTAATGTTTTCTGTGGCCTCATCATTATTTGTCTCTCAGCCATAAGCCTTAGGAAACACACGAGCATTTCTGTTTACTTCAACTTGGCAGAAACTTCTTTAATGCTATGAAATGCATGTGGACACCTAACCAAGCAAAAAAACATATGATCAAAGGAACTGTTCCCACATTACTTAGGATCTGATCAGGGGTTGGATGAAACTCCAGAACAACCAAGGAACAGTCATAAAGCAATTCCTAGAGAGCTTATTTATTCACTACGTATTTACTGAGATCCAATTGCGTGTCAAGCAGGGTTGCAGGATAGTGAGTGAGTATGGTGCACACAGAGAACCCAAGCTCTAGGAGGCTATGAAATGAATGGGCAATCATGGAAGGGAAAAGATGGCATTAATAAAAAGCTTCCAGAAAGAGGTGGAATTTTAGTTTCATTTGGAAGCAACATGAGACTGAAGATTGTCAAGGTGGTAGAGGTACTTAAGGCTGAGCAAGCAACCCTGTGGGGATGGAAGGCAGAATTAACCACTTACCTAAAGAAAAGAGCCTGTGTAGAGAAAAGGAAGAGGGAGGTTAGGATGACCATAGAGAGCTATTGACCCAAGGCTCAGATTGCCAGAAGGAGATGTGGCTTTGGAGGAATGTAGACCAGGTGATCCAACCAAATAAGAGCACCACTGAAAAACCAAGACCCCTTCCAGGGCAGCTCACCCACAAGCAGCTCCTATCCGTTGCCTTGCTCTGGACACTGCCATTGTCCCTTCTGGTCAGCAAGTGGTGTACAGGAAGAGGGTCAAGTGTCAGGGCTCTGTACTGCAGAGGCAGTCCCTTGACAGTAAGAAGGGGAAAAATGCACTCAACCTCAAGGTGAAGTGGTTTAAATTAACAGTGAACAATTCTTTGTGTTGTTGTGGTTTTTGTTCCCTTTAATTATGTGTGTCTGGGAACAGAGGAAGCATTGTCAAAACATGGAGAGGCTCTTCAGCTGGAAAAAGTGTTGTGTGTGCCACTCCAGTTTACTGGAGGAAATAGGTGCATTTATTTCTCTTCAATGATTGTGTCCCAGATATGCACCATTAGATAGAGAGCTACCTGAGAGTGGGATTTTTTTTTTTTTTTTTTACTAAGTCTTCAAACATGGGCCCTCTAATCCTCTGCATCACCCAATACTACTTCTTCCATCTCCTCCCCACTTCCCCAAAACTTGTGTTTGGAGGTCCATCAAAACTCATGGTCACTGTTGGTCTGCATGCATGCTTCACAACCAGGACTTCCCCAAGGGTAGCGACCAAGTGACCTCCTCACTCCTGGAACTCACTATGCTCCTTCCTGCCTAGGGTCTTCACAAAGGTTGTCCCCTCTGGCACATTTCCCTCCAACCCCCAACCACCCACCCAAGGGCTCACTCTTCCCTGACGTCTGTCACTTAGGTAACTTTCTCATCCTCCAGACCACAGCTGGAATATCTCCATCCCCAAAAGACTTCCCTGACCACCACTCCCCACTTCCAAATCTAGGTCAGATTCTTTTACTCTACACTCTCCTAGGACCTGATTCCTAAGGAGCCACTTATCTCATCTTGGAGCCAGAAATTTAATACTATGCTGTTTAAGTAATGTCTATCTCCCTATTAACTGTGAGCTTCAAGAGAGTTGGGGCCTGATTTTGCTCACTGTAGTATCGCCAAAGCCTAGTACATGCCTGGCAAGTAGATGTGCTCAAGAAACATCACCTAAGGAAATGAGTGAATGATCAGTGAAAGAATGGCCTGTCTGTGGCACCCAGCACCAGAGTGTGCACTTAGGGAGTGCCAGGCCAGGCATTTGGCTCAGCGATTGAGTTTTCTCTATTCTATCAGTATGAGGAGCTGCAGGTCACGGCAGGCAGACATGGCGATGACCTCCACAGCACGAAGCAGGAGATCTCCGAGATGAACCGGATGATCCAGAGGCTAAGAGCTGAGGTAGACAGTGTCAAGAAGCAGGTAAATATTTGGCTGAGCCAAGAGTAACCTGTACGCTCATTTCTTCTGGATCATTCTTCCATGGTTACAGAATTCCTACCAAAAAACACCAGACCTCTAGAGACTATCAGAGGAGAACCTAAGTGGGGCTCACGGCTTCCTTCCATCCTTGCAGTGTGCCAACCTGCAAACGGCCATTGCCGATGCAGAGCAGCATGGAGAACTAGCCCTCAAGGATGCACGAGCCAAGTTGGCGGACCTTGAAGAGGCCCTGCAAAAGGCAAAGCAAGACATGGCACGGCTGCTACGCGAGTACCAGGAGCTGATGAATATCAAGCTGGCCCTTGATGTGGAAATCGCCACCTACAAGAAGCTGCTAGAAGGCGAGGAGTGCAGGTGAGGGCAGATGCACTAATTCCAGCCTCAAAGCAAGTTGAGTTCGCCCCAGTTGCCCGAGTTCAGTCAGCTCCTCACCTGGGAAGGGGTGCAAAAATGCAAGTGCAATTGGGCTATGACAAAGGTTGCTTCCAGGCCAGTATATCGTTATCAGAATTCTTTATTCAAGATACAACTACCTTTTACACCCCACAGAAATCTAGGATCAATCATGTCTGAGTAATCAAATCTATCAAAGGAGGAAGTTGGTTATATGGCAAGTCTGGATATGTGGTCTAAAAAGCTCCAGGCTGAAAATAAACTGCCCTAGTTTGGGGCTTGGAGGGAGCTCTGTCAGTACAGGGGTTAAAGCATTCAGCTGCTCACCGAAAGGTCAGTGATTCGAACCCAATAGCCATTCTGCTAAAGAAAGATGAGATAGTCTGCTTCTATAAAGATTTACAGCCCTGGAAACCCCATAAGGGCTGCTATGAGTCAGGGTTGAGTTGAGTTTGGGACTTACAGGTCTACCTCTAAATACCTGCCTGACCTTGGGAAAGCCAGTGTCCCCTCTCTAGACTTCAATTTCTTTGATGATAGAATGAGAGGCCAAATTACATGATTCCCAAATGAGCTTTGTGCTTTCCCAATTATCAGCTGCGTAACCATGGACAAATTACTTAACTTCTCCATGCCTGTGTCATCACCTATAAAATGGGGTAATAATAGTTTTTAAATGTGAAATGTTCTGAAATACACTGGAGCTCTTAGAATTAACACATAGCATAGAACAAATGCTCAATAAATGCTAGCTGTCATTCAGTTTAGTGATAAAAGACGTAGACTTGGAATCATGGCTTCAAATCCAGCTTTGTCAGCAAGTGAGTTGTGAGCAAGTTAGTTACCTTCTCTGAGCTTCAATTTCTCTGTCTGTAAAATTAAGGTAATCGTACCTATCTAATGGGGTTGTTGAAAGAATTAAGTGGTATAATGTAAGTAACAGGTACTCAATAAGTATTAGTTCTTTTTAATGTTCTAAGTACATGTTTATGAATGAATACCAGTTCGGTCCTTAAGATACTTACTCAAGCTGCTAAGATAATAATAGACTGGTTATTGCTATTATTATTTTTATGACTCAGATTCCTCTCCACACCTGTAATAATCTCAGCACTGGCCCAGTTCATGACAATAGTCCATTATTGAAAGAGAAATCTTCTTGCTATATGACAAGCCTGCATTTCTAATTGACACCAGTGTATGATTAGTTTTAATTTCCTTAATATGTCTCACTAGTTTAATCCAGGGAGCTCTGGTAGCATAGTGCCAGAAGACTGGCGGTGCAAACCCACCAGCCGCTCCTTGGAAGGAAGACTGGGCAATCTACTTCTGTAGAGATACTGCCTTGGAAACCCATGGAGGGGTCACTATGAGTCAAAATCGACTTCACGGCAGTGAGTTTGGTTTGGTTTAGTTTAATCCTAACATGTGATCTGAGATTACAGGTTTTACTTCTATGTACCTCAAACTCCCTATTATTTTATGAATTAGATTATTATTTTTAATAATACTAATATTTAAATGGGAGCTCTGGTAGCATAGTGCCTAAGGCACTTGACTGCTCACCAGAAGGCTGGCGGTTCAAACCCAACAGCCACTCCTCGGAAGGAAGGTTGGGCAATCTACTTCCGTAGTGATACCGCCTCAGAAACCCAAAGAGAGGTTGCTATGAGTTGGGTCTGACTCGATGGCACATAACAACAACAACAATATTTATACAACTTTAACCAGCATTACTTCTGCAATAAAAATAATAAAGGGGTTTTAAATGCATTTAAAACAATTACAGATATGCCCTTTCAAATTCCCCTAAGCTGCTGAACATGATAGTAATGTTCCTTTTCCCCCTTGCTCCCAATCAGGCTGAGTGGAGAGGGTGTTTCTCCAGTTAACATCTGTGAGTATGAAATTCTTCTTGGGTAGTCTGGAGTGCACATAGTTGTGGGGATGGGGAGGTGGTGGGCACATGGGAGGATCGGGAACATGAGGCTGCAGAGGAGATTTCACAGATAAAGTTCATTTTGAGAAGGTTTGAGGTTTTGAGCCCATTAAAAAGAGAGCTATAGTAGGAGAGAGTCTTTTATAGCATAATTCTTACCTCTTTGCAAGTAAGACAATATACAGAATCAGGCAATAGGAGGTTTGTGCTGATCACTCTGCACGGGCTTGCAAGACCCATGAGCCACACCTCCCACTTCTCAGGATCCCATGCCTTTCTTGATGGGGTTGCAAGTTTATCTCAGAGAGGGGCATTCAATGTAGAAAGGATTTATGAAACTCCTGATCTGCCATTAGCCTTAAGAGGGAACCTTCTATCTGGGCTGGTGGTGTAGTGGATTAAGCATTTGGTTGCTAACCAGAGAGTCAGTGGTTCAAATCCACCAGCCAATCTGTGGAAGGAAGATGAGTCAATCTATTATTTACAGCCTCGGAAACTCAATGGGGGTCACTACGAGTCAGAATCAACTCGATGGCAGTGAGTTTGGTTTGGGTTTGGTTCTGACTGGGCACAGGGCATGGCCAACTAGGCAGCTATTTCCCAGAGCAGTGTGTAGAGAAGCCCCACTGTTTGACTTAACTGCAGAATATAATTGCAGAAAGTCACCAAGGGTTTTCAAGGCAGCATGAGCACCATAAAACAGGGCAGTTTCAGCTACTTTGAAACAGGAGAGGTCTTGCAGAGCATTAACTAGCTAGTGCAAACTAGTGCCAATAAGAATGGAGGCATCACAGAGTTCAGTGCTGGTCATGAGGCCAACAGAAATGACTTTTACAACCACCCTCTACATGTCAGTTGGGTTTTCTTGATAGAGGATTCACAAAAGCAATCAATTGTATTAGCCGATGATTCTAGAAGGTGGAGTGCTCTGAACCACCAGGTGTTCTCCTTCCTTGATGTTTCTTGTCTAGCAGCTCCAGAGACCCTCAAAAGCTAATTTTTGAACTGGATAGAATAACCTCTGAGGCTTCATTTCTATTGAAAATACCTAAGAATTTCCCTGGCCTTCCCCCCACCACCACCCAATTTTCCTTCTACTGAGCACAAAGTAAGGTACTGAAATCTTTAAGATGATGGATTGTTATCTCAGGAAAAGAGCAGTTTGAGAGGGATAAAAAGAGTTGACTGGTAAATGGGTTCATCTGGCAGGTGAACTATCAAAAATATCCAGGGATTCAGAGTGTCAGAGTGTGGAGGCTGGAGGACACCAAGGGAAAAGCAAGAGCACCTCCCAGGAACCCCCAGAATGAAGGAAGAGTCCAAAGCCAGGACATAGGGACAAAGCAGCAGGGGAGAGTGAGATGGGATCAAAGGAGAAGGCAGATGGCCTGGAACAGCTTCCAAGAGGAGAGAAGTCTTCAGCAAGGAGAACAGAGGCACTAAGTAGTGAAAACGTCCCAGACCGGGAAAATGCCAGTGCTACAGCTCAGGGGAAAAATTGGCAGAGGCATAAGACAGTGATCTCACAAACCAGGAGGGGAAAATTGGGAGGAGACACACAGCTAGCTGAGGAGATCATCTCCCATTCCAAAGACTTCAGAGCACAAGCCCTGACTCCCCCTGCTGTCTTCTCTCCTGCCCTTGATTCTGACATGTCTCCTTTCTTCCGGAAGCTGTGGTCACCAACACCATTTCCAGCGGCTACGGCAGTGGCAGCGGCATTGGAGGTGGAAGCCTGGGTCTCGGTGGGGGCAGCGGCTACTCCTTCACCACCAGCGGTGGGCACAGCCTGGGTGCAGGGCTCGGGGGCTCTGGCCTCAGTGCCAGCAGCAGCCGGGGCCTAGGAGGCAGTGGCTCAAGCGTCAAGTTTGTCTCCACCACATCCTCCAGCTGGAAAAGCTGCAAGCACTAAATGCGACCATCCTACTGCCTCACTGTGCCCTGGACACCTGGGTCCTTCTCCTTCTTTCCTCCATCAGCCCATCCACGCTATTGAAAGGCCTGGAGTCCTGGCTAAACCTTATTCCTTGGCCTCTGCCCTCCTAATAGTCTACAGATCATTAATGGTCTCCCTCTCTGTTCTAGACACACAAAACCAAAGCCCACTCCCTTTCAAGAGTCACATTAGCTTCTCTTGCAGAGACCCAAGCAGTCTTGCAATGTCCCCTTCAGTTCCACCCTTCTCCCTCCTCCAGATGTGATGACAGGGGAGACTCTGTCTCCAAGGCCATCTCAATGCCATGTTGTTAGCCAGCCTATCTCACGGTGCTTATAAGCTGCCTGGTGGGAGGTGGTGCAGGTGCTCCCACTATCCCCTCCCTGGAATGTGTCTATTAAAATGCATGTGTAATGTGTTTGGGCTTCAGCCCACTGTTTGGAATGGTGTGAAACAAGGAGTGATTCTCTTCTTCCTGGCCTTCTCCCAAAACAAGGAGTCACACAAGGAGAGCGCAAAACACATCAGACCTCTCCCCTTCCTTCCCCTTCCTCAGAGCCAGGAAGGCTGAACTGGGAAGAGAGGAGGGACAAGGGAACAGACACATGTGGAGGGAGGCTGGCCAACCAGACAACCTCCCTTTGCCACTGCCAATTCTTCCTACCTCTTCTTGGGATGTCTTGTTTGGGAAGCCTTAGCCCCTGGGCAGAAGTGCTGCCCAGCCTCTCCACTCCGTATGTCATGCAGGGTGATGTCGTCCTCTTCCCAGACCAGACTGTTCCAGGGACACTGACGCAGGGTGGGCAGCCCAGCCCTCAGCCAGCAATAGGGCTGATTGTTCTCTGACATCTTCAAACTTGCAGACAGAACACAGAAATAACAGGCCACTGAGTAGACTTAAAAGTCAGCCCTGGGGGTAACGCTTTCACAGAGCAAGGAGCCATTTAGGCCCATAATTGCAGGCAGTCGTGAGACATCCAGGAAGCTTCCATATTCATGACTTCACAAGTCTCCTGGACCCCTCTCACCAGGCCTGACCCCAGGTTAGAGCTGAAGGGACCCCTACAGCAGAGAGGCCATTGTTGTGAACTTGGAGGGGGTGCTTTCAATGATCAGGACCAAGCTCAGAACTGAAGGGAACTATATATAAGCCAAGGATCTGAAAACAGTCTTCCAGGGTGAAAGAACAGGATGAGTGTAAAACCAAAGGACTAGAATTTAGAGTGGTTGGGAGGGAGAAGATAGCAGGAAGGAGAGAGATGACAGTTAGGGAGTGTAAGTTAAGACCAAAATGGGGATAAGGAGGAGCAAGAATTATGTAGGGAAGAAGAATCTGGATATCTAAATTTGAGTCCTGACTCTGCTTCGTACCTTGGACAAGCCACCCCTCCTTTCACAGCCTGACTTCCTCATCTGTAAATAGTGCTGTGACTCAGAGCATACAGCCTGGAGTCTGACTACCTGGATTCTAATGTCCACCTCAGCATTCACAAGGCCTGTGACATTAATTAGCCAAGTCTCTTAACTACTCTGCACCACAACTTCTTCATGAATAAAACAAGAGTAATATTAGCTATCCTATGGTATTGAGTAAAGATTAAATAAGATAAGCAGCTACTCCCAATGTTATTGTTGGTTGCGGTCGAGTCAATTCTGACTCATGGCGACCCCATGTGTTTCAGAGTAGAATTGCTCCATAGGGTTTTCTTGACTATAATCTTAATGAAAGAAGATTGACAAGTCTTTTTTTGAGTAATAACAATGAGTGGGTTTGAACCACCAACCTTTAGGTTAGCAGTCAAGCATAAATCATTTGCAACACCTGGAAACCCATGACAGATGCTCAGCAAATGTTGGCAATTGTTATTATTCCTATTACCCACCCTCACAAAGTTACTAAGAGAATTAACTTAACACATTGTGATTTACCTTGTTCACAGTCTGGCATATATTGAATTTTCAACAAGTGGATTTTTTATTATTATTATTACAAGTGGCCAGGATGGGAAAGGTATGGTTAAGTGTTTAGGTTCAGAGTCCAAGACCTGAGAATGGAGAGGGGAGGAGCAGATGGTGGGGGGGTGGTTTGGTCAGCAGCATCTGGCCAAGAATCTGGTTAGGTGGGGGGTTTGGGAACCCAGGTCTTCTCCAGGCCTGGTCCTGCCCTAGGTAGGGTGTTCCCTATGGTGATTAGCAGGGCAGGCAGATGGGCTGTGGCCAGACATGCCATTGAGATGAACTCAACAGAGTGGTCTTTGATCTTCTCCAGCCAAGCCCAGTTTTTGAAAGGGATAAAAATCAAGGAGGATTTGGGAGAGCTAGACTTTGAAGGATCCTCATTCCTTTGACATTCTTGCTCCTCTGACCCTCTGGTACCAGGTCCCACCATGACCCAACGATCCTCTGTCACCATCAAGTCAGGGGGCACCCGGAACTTCAGTGCTTCCTCAGCCAGCCTCCTTCCAGGCTGCCGGACCAGCTTCAGCTCTGTCTCCATGTCTCAGGGAGGGAAGAGCTTTGGGGGAGGGTTTGGAGGTGGTTTCGGCACCAGGAGCCTCCACAGCCTTGGTGGTAGCAAGAGAATCTCCATCACTGGGGGTTACCGTTCCAGCCGGGCCATCTGTGGAAGTGCTGGATATGGGCTAGGTCTCGGAGGCATGGGGTACAGAGTAGGGGGAGCTTGCAGTGGGTATGGATTTGGAGGTGGAATGACATCTGGAGCTGGAGGTATCCATGAGGTCACGGTCAACCAGAGTCTCCTCACTCCCCTCAACCTGGAGATCGATCCTTCTCTCCAAAAGGTGCGGAAGGAAGAGAAGGAGCAGATTAAGACACTCAACAACAAGTTTGCCTCCTTCATTGACAAGGTAAGATCTTAGGAGATGGGCAGCCTACTAATGGAGTGGAGAAGAAGTGGTTTCCCATTTTGTTGAGCAGAAAAATATCCATCCATCCCTAGACTCCAGAGCTCTCTGACTCACCACAAGAACACTGCTCTTTTGATGGATAGCAATCTTATATTTGGCTTAAAATTAGATGTAGGAAGGGGATGAGTTTGGATGGAAGGGGATGAAGGAAGGGAAAAGTTACAAGTTCAATTCACGGATCTGGGCTGAGGTCATTTTTTCTTGCCCTGTGTAACAGGGGCTGGTTTTCCTCCTGAGGCACAGGCATCTTCCAAGTGATTTGGATATGTCTGGGAGTTGAGTGGCAAGGGGTGCACTCAAAGAATTTTTCACTTTTCTTGCTGTGACAGGAAAGCTATAACTTCAGCCCTAAGTCAGCCCTGCTGTGTGGCCTGGAATCCCAGGGATTTCCCCAGCTGTGGGAGAGACTCATCTATGAAACATTCTACTTTGTACTACCACCACTGCACACTTGAGTTAGTTTTGTTTTTGTTTTTGCCTGGGAAGAAGAAATTCAAGAATCTGGATAATTCAGGCTCCATATCTGGGATTTGGAGAAAGAGTAGTAAACTAAGAGCTTGACTACTGGGAGTCATCCAACTTCTTGGGCCTCACTTGGATTGGACAGATGTACTGTAAAGTCCCTTGGAAAGTCTAACAGGTTATGAACTGTCACATCATATGGGCCCAGATCACTGAATATATAGACCTAACCAAAGAATGTTGTTGTTGTTGTTTGCCGTCGAGTCAGCCCCGACTCGTAGCGACACCTCCTTGGGTTTCTGAGGCAGTATCACTACGGAAGTAGGATTGCCCAACCTTCCTTCCGAGGAGTGGCTGGTGGGTTTGAACTGCCAGCCTTCTGGTGAGCAGTCAAGTGCCTTAGGCACTATGCTACCAGAGCTCCTAACCAAAGAATAGTGGTTCTTAAACTTTATTATCCCATGTAACCCCATCCTACCCAGCATCTTCACTAACAGAAATGAGATTCCTGGGAGCCTAACTGTGGAGGAAATCCTGTGGCCCTTCTTTTCCTTGATTCATCCAGAGGGCATGTGGGAATTGAGGGGAATGTTACTAGGGGGAACTTAGAGCTAGAGTTTCCATCTTTCTACTGATAACCAGAGATCTAGGGGAAGGGAAATATTTGTTAAAGACCCTCTTATAGGCAAGCTGCCATCTCCAAAGTCATGGAGGTCCTATCCCTACCTTCTCTGAGACTAGGTATCTTTCCACCTACAAGGACTTTGTTTGAGGGAAAGGTTATGTATAATCCCCAGGGCTACCTCCCAAGCTGAGGAACAGAAGGGTGTAACAAAAAAATCAAATTAGCACCATAGGACCAGAAGGAACTTGAAAGAGCTGAGAAAGGAAGAGGCTTGCCCAAGGCCCCACAACTAGTGAGGGACATGGCTGGGATTATGCCCAGGTCCTCTGAAAGAAATTCCAAACTGACCATTCTAGCATTCCTATAATGCGCTAGCAACTGAATCCAGATTCTAGAACTGGACTGAGCACACACAGAACGCCTGAGAAACCTTGTCAGAAAGAAATGAGTAGATCGGATTTTCTACCATGAACCTCCTGATCATTTAATGAGATTAAAAACCTCACCCAGGGGACCAGGTTTGCTGGTCCAATAGAGCCTGGTGGAACCACTGAGACTATGGCCCCTAGCTGCCCTTCAGGTCTGGAATTGAACCCACACCTGTGGTTTCCAGCCAAACAAAGTATAGGCATGTGAGTTAAACATTTATCTCAAGTAGACACATGCCTTGGAGAGAACAATCATGGGAGAAGGAAGGGCTGCTTATGCACAGGGAGACAGCTCAGGGCGCAGAAGAGTATGGAAGGATGGACACTGGGAAGAGGAAGTGGGAGGGGAGCTGTTGCATTGTAAATTTTAGTCAATGACATGACACAAAGTATATGTGAACTGGTGTACGAAAAGTGAATTTACTCTGTAAATCTTCACCAAATCAAAATAAAATTAAAAAAAAAAAAAAAAAACCTCACCCAGCAATACAATGGAGTGTTCTTTTCTTAAGCTACCATGTGTCAGTATGGTCTGGTGCTTTTAGGTAGTCTCCAGAACTTCTGGACTTTGCTACTTCCTCCCCACCCCCAAACCTAGCCACTGCCTGTCTTCCAAGCCCATTGCACCAACATTTGTGTAGCTCTCTAAATTCCAGGCAACTTCTAGGCTGAGGAAGACGAGGAGCCTGCCACCTGGGCTCTGAGGTCTTGCAGGAGCTCTCTGCACTGATAGGGGCTCCATATCCCACAGCCTTCTGGGAGGCTGCAACTGGAAGCTTTCATATTTTCTTATCTCTGACTGGTGCAGGTACGGTTCCTAGAGCAGCAGAACAAAGTCCTGGAGACCAAATGGAGCCTCCTACAAGATCAGAAAACCACCAGGATCAACATTGAGCCCATGTTTGAAGCCTACATCAACAATCTGAGACGTCAGCTGGAAGGCCTGGGTGGGGAGCGGACAAGGCTGGAGACGGAGCTGAAGAGCATGCAGGATGTGGTGGAGGACTTCAAGAACAAGTGAGTGGATACTCAGCCAGCTCCTGAGCTACAGCATCTGCCCTGGAGTCCCTGGGGAGCCACGGGGAGCGGGAGAACAGGATTTTCACTCCATAAGTGCTCACCCATGGGGCATGTACGCAGAATCAGAATTAGTCAAAGTAGAAAGAGAACTAGGACTGTGGGGTCAAGAATTTGGAGGCTTTGGGAGGAGATGAGGTTATAGATGACAATAATACATGTACAAAATGCTTAATACACACAACAATCCTTCAAATTCTGCAGATAATTAAAAGGAAGGCTATGAGACAGAAACACAAATGGAAACTCATGAGTTAAGATTTAAACCCCTAGAATCTTACTCTCCCATTCGTTCAATCAAATTCCATTGCTAGTATACACATTATACATTATGCATTCACCCTTACCCTGGCCAAGAGGCTAGGGGATCAATGAACAAAGAGACATTTGCTGCCTTCCCCTAGAAATACACACATCACATTAAACATACTGGGATGCTCATGCCTAAAGATATGAGTAAAATAAGTAACTCAATAATAAGATTTGGTTATGTTTGCAGATGATAGTAAGAAAACAGATTTTAGGATTGCACTGTCCAAAATGGTAGCCATATGTAGCTATTGAAATTTAAATTAATTAAAATTAAATTAAAAATCTGGCTCCTCAGTCACAATAGTCACATTTCAAATGCTCAGTTGCCACGTGGGGTTAGTGGGTTTTGTATTGGAGAGCATAGGTGTAGAGCATTTTCATCATCGCAGAAAGTGTGGACAGTGCTATAGAATCTAGATCAGTGGCTTTAGAATCTTGGTTCAACCAATTACTACTGAATGACTCAAAGAAAATTCTTTAACCTCTCTAAGTCTCAGTTCCTTTATCTGTTAAATGGGGCTATTAATGGTACTCACTTCATAGTGGGTTGTAAGTATTTTAAGTATCAACACTTGCATATAAAGTAATTGGCATATAAAGTTCTTATAAAGTGTTAGCTATTTTTACTGTATTTGTGATTAAGTATATGTGTGTAGTGATACAGAAAACAGAGGTAAATTCAGATGGATAATTTATAATCTATATCTAAACATGGAGTAAGAATGTTTTAGATCAAAGAAGTCTTCCTGGAGGAGGAGACTCATATTTCAGAAGGAAGGAGGGACAGAGGAGGGATATGGAGGGCATTCAATTGAAGAGTATCCACCTGGTGTCAAAGAGACCTCAGAGAAGTTCTGTGAGCTAGGACATACAGATGAGGACAGTTGTGTGGAGCTAGGTGAAGAAAAGATGTTCAGATTTCATAGCAAGGAAACTCAAGAGAACAATAAAGAAAAAAAAAAAAAAGCTCAATTTTCCCAGAAAACATTGGAGAAGGCACAGTACTGGAAAGTCAATGGCAGACAAGAGGTTTTCTCAGATGCTACTAGACAACAGAGGCAATACAAAAGCAGGGGAGATTCTGGTTACATACATAATGTGTGATACTACTCTGTAGTTTTAGAAGAAGATCTACATGCCATCTCATAGATGGAACACAACCTCAGAGATGTTAAGCAACCTGTTCAAGGTTGCTCAGCTGATAAGTGAAGGAATCAAGGCCCAAACCACAGCTAACCAGCAACATTAACCAGTCGTTCTCCAGTCAATTCTGATTCATGGCCACCCCATATGTGCCTGAGTAAGATTGTGCTCCATAGGGTTTTCAATGGTTAATTTTGGGGAGTAGATTGCCAGGCCTTTCTGCTGAGGCACCTCAGGGTAGGCTTGAACCTCTAACCTTTTGGTTAGGGCCAAGTATGTTAACCATTTGCACTACCCAAGGACTCGCCTAACAATGCTGAGAGGGTAGGACACTGATGCTTAGGAGGACTGAGTGAGGAATGGATGCCCTAGAACAGAAGTGAAACTTCCTTCCCAGAGATGAATGAGCAGGGAGCACTTTCATGTGCCTTTGGGGCAGGAGAGAAGTAAGGCTGCTGCTTGGGGACAAACTGAAGAACAAGAGAACTTTGTCTGGGAGGCTCTTATCAGCCTGAAGACTCCTTCTTAGGCCACAGTCCAGCATGGCTGATAACAGAACATAAGAACTTTTTGGGGAACAGGAGCCATGCCAGAGCCCGGGAGCCACCCCCCTCACTGCCTGTTTGGGTTAGAACAAAAATCGTGAAAAAAATTAACATAATAAAAAAGTGTTAAGCCTCAGAGGGGAAGCATGCATGCATGTGCCTTCATGGGGTCCAAGTCCTCTAAGACCAAAGCTGAGAAAAGAAACTGCAGAAAGAATGAGGGGTGGTTCTGTTTGATTGCTGTTGCTTGGGATTTTCTTTTTGTTTTGAGAGAGGTGGTTGTTTGTTGTATTGGGAATGGGTGAGGTATATACTTGCAACAAGACAGCTATGCTATATGAAGGCATTTTCCAGATCCGCTCTGGAGAAGCCCCCTTGCCTGCCCATCTACAACCCTCACTGTCCCAATCTCCCCCTCAGGCTACCTCTTCTCCTCACTAACATCAATTGACTCTCCGTTCTGTCCACAGGTACGAAGAAGAAATCAACAGGCGCACAGCTGCAGAGAATGAGTTTGTGGTGCTCAAGAAGGTGAGGCAAAAAGGACACTCCTCTGACTCCCAGGCCCAAGCAGCCTCTTAAGTAGTAATAACTGCCACTTTGCCAGTGGCCTTATAAACAAGGCCTTATTAACTTGTGGAACAGATCTTGGAAGGAGGTCTTGCTTTAGAAGTGAGAAAACTGAGGCTCAGAAACTTAAGTAAGTTGTCCAAGGTTACCCGGTAATTAGAACCCAAAGTTGCTTGGAAAACATTATACCAACTCCCAACCCTCATACAGTCCTGAGCAGAGAGAGTGGGGGAGAAATGAGCTTGTCCTGAGCTGCTCTTCCTTCAGGTTAGGCTCAGGAGGGCTGGGCCAGGAAGGCAGAATGAACTCCATGGAGTTCTGGACCTTTCTGCTTAGTGGCACCAGGTAGAAGTCATTAAGCTAGGGAAGGAGAATGGAGCAACAAGATTGCTTGTTGAAGGGGAGAGGTTGGGAGTAGAAGGGGAAGCCACCTCAGCCTTCAAGGAGAAGCTTGGAAAGCCCAGAGGCCCAATGGCCCAGGATGGGGATTAGCCTCACCATGCAAAGGTGACATAGGGAACCTTCACCCATGGCGCCAGCTGATAAGCAGGCATTCCCTGAAAGCCCTGGTTCTCACACAGTTTGAAACACAACCCACCCCCAAAAAAAAACTCCACTCCATGTCCTAGAATAAAGAAATCCCTTCATTCCCATGAGTAAAATTCTCCCCCCTAACTCATCACCTGAGGAGGCTGATGAAGAAAGGGGAAACTAAGGCTAATGGTGTGTTCTGTTCTCCAGGATGTAGATGCTGCCTACATGAACAAGGTGGAGCTGGAGGCCAAGGTGGACGCTCTGACCGATGAGATTAACTTCCTGAGAGCCTTCTATGAGGCGGTGAGGAGTGCCTGGACTCACCTTAAGGAGGGCTGGTGGTTGGTGGGCACAGAGACCACTAGATCCTTCCGTCGTCTCTCTGCTTTTCACCCCAGTCCTGGGTTGGAATTCATTGGACAGATGTTGCTTCCCCTATCAGAGAAAATGAAGTTCCCTGGGGCTGGGGAGAAATTCAGTCTTAACCACTTGGACCAAGTATGTTCTACTGTCAGACAAAACAACAGCTTCCTATAATTGAAATATGCTGGTTTCCAGAAGACTCTCTGAGCATCCTGGCTCCCCTGGCCCAGCCCATATTTACCTGTTGCTCTTCCTAGAGCAGCTGCTTTAAGATGAATTCACAAATTCAGTGGCAATTAGTAAGCCCTCAGGTGCTTCTAGAAGGACACAACCCAGTTGCCTGGTTTTAGGTAGGACATAAAATTTTGCATTTCTTGCAAGTTCCCAAGTGATGCAAATGTAGCTGGTCCAAGGATCACATTTTGGGAACCACTGCTTCAGATGATTCTTAAAAGGAAATATTAAATTAATTGTGAGTTTACTATTTCAAAAATAATCTTACACAGACATTAATTTATTTAATCCTCATGAAAATCCTAAGAGGTCAGTATTATGATTATCCCCTCTGAGGCTCAGAGATGTTATATAATTCACCTGGGTTGAATTTTTCAACCTGGTGTCCTTTCTGCTGTTTTGAGCTGATTTTTCATTTCCCATCCCCAAGAAGCAAGGAGGTGCCTAGTTGGGAAATAGTATTGAGAAGAGGCAGAGCTTTCTGGCTCTTTCTTACTCATTTGTCTTTCACAAGATGATTTCTTTATTTAGTGTGAAGAGAGATGGATTCTCAGAACATGAGACACCATGACAAAGTGCATTTCCTTGGCAACAGGCGTGACTTCTAGAGAATCTGGCTAGTATCACCTGTGCTGCTGCTCACTCTGGGTAGATTGGCTGATGATGAAGGACAGGTGTAAACTCAAAGACCTCCTTAGTGTCTTTTTTGGCCCTTACAGACCTAAGTAGGATGTTCCACCCCAGCAGTGTAAGTGAGACCCTTAATGCCAGGATCTGTTCTGAAGGTCAGGCCACAATCTCCCAACACACACACACATACATACACACACACACCACACACCCTGCTCAGCTTTCCCATTTTTTGCCTATTACAGGAGTTGGCTCAGCTTCAGGCCCAGATATCTGAGACCTCTGTGGTCTTGTCCATGGACAACAACCGCTGCCTAGACCTGGACAGCATCATCTCTGAGGTCAAGGCCCAGTATGAGGACATTGCCAACCGCAGTCGGGCCGAGGCTGAGTCCTGGTACCAAACCAAGGTGAGGTGTCAAGCCAAGTCAACTCAACAGGCCAAGAGCAATAGGTCCAAGCAAAACCAGAGTTACAAAAATAAATAAGACAAGGGCCTTGTCCTCTGGGACCCCAAGCCTGGTGGGCTGAAGGGATGTGAGTTAAGTTTGGAGCTTACCCTCTGTTCTGAGCATGGCTTTGATGCAACACCATCAGAACCTGGGGGAATAGGCCGAACAAGGCAAGAGGTAGTCAGGCTTTCTGCCAAGAGGAGAAGGACACACATCCCATACCTATAGCACAGGAACAAGGGGAAGCTGGACAGTAGTGACCATCAATTACAGTAGGGAGTGACAGAAGGGGAATGAGAAGAGATTTTTGCCTCCTATAGGAGCTCTGGTAGCATAGTGGCTAAAGCACTTGACTGCTAACCAGAAGGCTGGTGGTTCAAACCCACCAGCCACTCCTCGGAAGGAAGGTTGGGCAATCCTACTTCTGTAGTGATACTGCCTCGGAAACCCAAGGAGGGATCGCTATGAGTCGGGGCCGACTCGACGGCAAACAACAACATAAGAGGCTAGAGGGTCCAGAGAAAAGAGGTGGAAGTGCCTGCCAGCTGAGAAGCTGGGGGACTTCCTAGCTGAGCAGAAAACAGCTGAGCAGACAAAGTTTCGGCAAAACTCACAGAGTGAGATTTTCCAGGATAGAGCAAACACTCCAAGCTGGAGAGTCATTTGAGGATGCAAAGAGGTGGTGCCAAGGAAATTAAATACAAAGAAGCTTAAAAGTCAGAGAGTAATGGGCATTGCAGATGCCACATGATGCTGAGTTGGTGAGGATGATATGTGTGGTGTTAGGGAGTGGAGGGCAGACCGAACACAGAGAGAAGGGACGCACACTGCCACGGCTGTGGACATGGAAAGCGAGAGTCAGAGACAAGAGCCAATGCAGAAAACAGTGTGTCAGACTTCAGTATGGAATTTTGGGGCAAGGAGAGACTTCTAACCACATTTTAAAAGCCTGTTGGAATGTGGTTTGCAGCTGAGTTTCAGGATAGGTGATGGAGATAGCATAATTGTTCTCCATAATCTGATGGGGAATTTTTTAAATGTCTGGGAAAGGAGGGAGCAGAAGAGAAATAGAAGAAATAAGATGCATAAGTAACAAAATGGAGAGGGCCAGGAACTTTCAAGGGACAAGGTAAAGTTGATTCAGCTTTAATTTGCATGAGTTGCATTTGTTCCATCACCTCCCCCAAATCTTCAAGTAAAGTTGGCTTTACAGACAAAAAAAAAAGAAGAAGAAGAAGAAGAAGAAAAATAAAAAGCCAACTGAGCCCAAGGAAGTCCCAGACTTTTCCTCCCTGCCCTTGACCATCCCTGCCTCCTGTGTGTATTCTCACACAAGGCCTCCTTCTCCCCCCAGTACGAGGAGCTGCAGCGGTCTGCTGGCCGGCACGGGGATGACCTCCGCACCACCAAGATGGAGATCTCTGAGCTGAACCGTATGATCCAGAGGCTGCGCTCTGAGATTGATAATCTGAAGAAGCAGGTAAGGCAGAGACAGTAGGACTAGTCCTGGCGGTGCTCCTGCCTCCACACACTATGCCTGGTCCTAAATCCACCCATGGAGTGAAGCCATCCCCAGTGAGTGACCTCTCCAGATTGTAATTGTGTTGTTCCCTAGCCAGCTAGGAATGCCAGGACACTCCTTCTGAGATGAATCTCACATCAGTGCCTCTAGAAAAGGTTCTGGCTTCTGGAGGCATAGGTAGCAAAACCTTGACTTGCTTCATTTACCCACTATCCACAGAAGTTCAGAAACTATAAGGGCCTCAAAAACACATTTTCTCCATTATCTCATATATTGTCCAAGGTAGACCGTAATTCAGATTACTTTTAAAGATGGTGATGCCCCAACTTCCTCTGCATTAAATCCATTTTAGGAGATTTCTCTAGGGGTGTGCCTAAAGCCCACAGCACACTGCATCCTCTGTGAATGATCTCATGCACTTCTATCTCCTCCCTGCAGTGCGCTTCGCTCCAGGCTGCAATCGCTGATGCCGAGCAGCGGGGGGAGCTGGCCCTCAAGGATGCCAAGCACAAGCTGGCTGAGCTGGAGGATGCCCTACAGAAGGCCAAGCAGGACATGGCCCGGATGGTGCGCGAATACCAGGAGCTGATGAATGTCAAGCTGGCCCTGGACATTGAGATTGCCACATACCGCAAGCTGCTGGAGGGCGAGGAATGCAGGTGGGTTACCTTCTCCCCCCTCCCCAGGTTCCAACAAGGGAACCAAAGCACCACTATAGCAGTTGCCCAGAGATCACTTGGGACCCACGATATCAGGCCACTGGATAGAAATCCCAAAGACTAGGTTCAAGTGCAACTGCTCCCATAGAAGTATCCTTCAGTTACAATCCCTCCTCCAGCTACTGTTGGACCCAGGGTAGGGGGTCCAGGGCTTTAAGGGAGTGGTGTCCATGGCTACCTGGTAGGCCATAACCAGGACCATTTCTGCCCAGTTCTGTAACTAATGACACTGCAGTTGGGAAAAGCCCCAGTGACTCTGCACTTCCCCAGAGATGCTCTATAAATGACTGGCTTACTCTATCTGTCTGGCATGGGCCCTTCAACCCATTTCTCTCTATATTTTTAACTTGGTCTATTCTAGGTTTCCTGCCACATACTCATATTAGCTTCCTAAAGTTAATGAAGTGAATAAAAAGCTTGTTAAGCGCTCAGTATAGTTTCTGGCATCCAGTAAAAACTCCGTACTGTTAATGGTTTAGATAGAAAGAACTCCATGCTCTTTTAACTTCTCTGCAATGAAATGTCTCTTTCTCTCCCCATCTGCAACAGACTCACTGGAGAAGGTGTTGGAGCTGTGAATATCTGTGAGTACATGTCTTGGGGTGATAGAAAAAGGGGCAGACAATGACATAATGGCGTAACTAATTAGGATTTACTGGCTAGAGAATGACCAATTTGCAGATGTCATTAAGACCCTCTTACAGCCTCTGTAACCAGTTGCTGTTGAGTCAATTCTGACTCATGGTGACCTCATATGTGCCAGAGTAGAACTGTGCTCTGTAAGTTTTCAATGACTGATTTTTGGAAGTAGACTGCTAGCCTTTTTCCCTAGGCACCTCTGGGTGGACTCCAAATGCCAACCTTTTGGTTAGCAGCTGAGTACGTAATGGTAAATTTTTGCCTTCCAGGAGGAAGAGCCAGGTTCTATTCCTGGCCGATGCATCCCATGCATAGCCACCACTCATCTGTCAAGGGAGACATGTATATCACTGGGAAGCTAAACAGGTGTCAGCAGGGCTCCCAGACTAAGATAGACTAGGAAGGCTTGGTGATCTACTTCTGAAAATACACCAATGGAATCCCTTTGGATCACAATAGCACCATCCAACACCCACCACTGTGCATGAGGTGCCCATGAGTCAGGGAGCAATTCAATGGCAGCTAACAAGGGGCTCTGTGGAAACCCCCTCCCTCTTTTTTGACCCCTCTTCCCAGTGGGGCCAAGAGAACTTTTCAGAAGTAGGACATTCCACGTCACTAAAGGAGAAGTTAAAGTGGAACTCAGTGACTCTTCTCCTCACTCTGGAATAATCTCCCCAGAGACTGAGGATGACTCTTCACCCCCAGGGGTGATCCTAGTCAGGTCACATATCCACAGGAATGTGACTCCCCCCAAGAAACTGACACAAGAGGATCACAGTTATGGGACAGAATTCCTCACAGAGTAGTGGTCTCCAATTTAATGCCTGATTTCTCAGCTGAGTTCTGGCAGGAACTCAAACTAACAAACAAGAGTCTACTAAACTGGTTAAATGGAAAGACCTACATTTAGATTTTAAACTAATTAACTGAGCAAGTAGAGCAGTGACTGACCTGGCTTGGTCTCAGCTCACAGGAAGGACTCCGGGAGGATTACTCTCACAGAATGACCCACCAGGACTAAGGGGCCTGTTAAAAAGCTCAGCACCTAGGAAGCATTAATAGAAGCATAGAGTCCTGGTCAAGGGAAGTAAAATCCCTGTAGGTCCCCTGTGGATCAGACTACATTAGGGAAGCTACAAACCAGGGTAGTGAAAGAGCTCAAAACCAGATAATAAAAGGAAAAGGAATGTTCGTTTGGAGAAACGGGCCCTGAGAGGCAGGCCAGATGGACATCTTCAAATGTTTGGTAGGCTTTGGAGAGGTGCACCTTGAGGTGATGAGCGCCACATTGCAGAAAGTATTAGAACAGAAGCTGAGTGCTCTCAGGGATGTTGTAGTGGGATTTCAATACTGGAGGCCAGGTTCATCTAGATAACTGTAGGGCTTCTTCCAAGATGGGAGACTATGATTCTATAACAGTGATACAGAAGGAATGAACACAACATAGGAACCTAAAGGCTGAGTTTTTGGCTTTGGACATGCCACTTGATCTCTTTGTGCCCCTATTTTTTCCCCTATAAAATGGGGGTGCTCATAGTCATGGTGTCCTCTCAGGCCTGTTGTAGAAGTCACAGCTTTGAATGAACTTTGAAAGTTGTGATGCCCTGTACAGATACACGTACTGTGGCAGTGTATGATGGGAGGGTGAGCCCTGGCCTCCTTCTCTGACTCTGTGGTTCTCAGGATCCTGAGGAAATTCCTGGTCCCTGAGGCCCTGAGGGAAGAGAGGGTTAGCCAGGAGCAAGGCACAATGGAAGGGGAACACATGGCAACAAAGGGTGTTCAGTTGGGGACGTGCATCTTGGAAAACCTGGAGAAGACTGCCAATGGGCCTTGTGACTTCTCTCCACAGCCGTGGTCTCTTCCTCTGGAGGTACAGGCTACAGTGGGGGCGGAGGCCTCTGTATGGGCGGAAGTGGCTACGGCAGTGGCCTCTGCTACAGCGGAGGGGGCGGCGGCTTCAGCTCCACCAGCAGCCGCAGTGTTGGTGGGAGCAGCTCCAGCATGCGCATCATCTCCAAGACCTCTTCCACCAAGAAGAGTTACAGGAGCTAAAGTGCCCCAACTGCCTTGGCTACATCCCCTGAATGCCTCCCCCTTGATGCTTTGCTGACACCACATCCATTTAAAAAAAAAAAAAACCAGGAGGCACGAGGAGCAGGAAAGTGGCCTGTGAGTTCTAAGGTCACCATATCCACCCTTCTGCCTCCAGACAGGTCCCCATAGAGCTATCCCAGTTGCTCCTCATCTCAGAGCCTTCCAGGGTCCAAAGGCATTTGTTCCAACTAGCACTCACTCAACAACTTCACCCTAGGCTAGGATCTGAGGAGATTCAGAGACGAGGACAGCCTTTGTCCTTAAGAAGCTTCTAGAGTAGACATGTAGTTGGCTTTTGTCCTCCTGTCTAACCCAGATCCACTGCAACCACAAACTGATTTCTCTTCCTCAGTTCTTCATATGGTAGCTTAGAAATGACCTTGATGTTCCAAAGTAGTTCAATGCAGTCTAGGTCAGAGTTTTCATGTGTATTGTTTCTAATGGCAGACAGGAAAGATCCTTATAAATTGTGTCATGTGGATTGCCTCTTCTCCTCCTCCCTTCCTGTCCTAGTCCAGGTTCCCAGCCACTTCCCTAACAACTTGCACGAGCACAATATTTGAATGAGAAATCAACAGCCTATAACATATTGTCAACTCTTGATTATTCACTAGAATGGAATAAAACCAAACCAAACTCACTGTCATTAAGTCGAATCCGACTCACAGCAACCCCTCCTTGGGTTTCGGAGGCAGTATCTCTATGGAAGTAGATTGACCCATCTTCCTTCCGAGGAGTGGTTGGTGGGTTTGAACCTCCAGCCTTCTGGTTAGCGATCAAATGCCTTAGGCACTACACCACCAGAGCTCCTAAGATGGAATAGTTTTTATCAAAAATCCAAAAGTTCTTCATGGCTTGGGACTGTATTAAATAATATTTTGTACCCAAATATTTTCCAAATAAGCCTCATGTAAGGCAGTATTAAAATTGCTGTCCCTAAACAGAAATGTCCTATTGATGAGGGGAAAGGAGACAAGCTCATGGGAGGATGTGAGGAGGGTAGCTCAGCCCAAAACACCTGCAATAGATGTTCCACAAAAAGGACTCAGTTAGCCTGTATTGGGAATTGCTTTGTGAGGCTCCTCCTCCAGAATAGTCATCCAGGCTCAGGACTTTTCCTCTTTGCATTGTGCTAGCCATGTGTTTCCTCTAGGAAGTTGTCTTTCCTTGACCTTACCTCCTTCCTCCTACCACCCTCTTGTGTCCCTTCTTGCTCAGCTCCTCTCCTTTCCTCTTTTCTCCTTCTTTTCCTCTCTTTTCTTCTCTTACTCTATCTATTTGGCAATATAATTCTTGCTGTGTTTCTCCTCTGTCCTGTCTTTTTCTCTCCCCTATCTCTGAAATGTCACTCTTCTCCACCAACTTGCCTATACCCAACTCTGGCTGGAACTGAAGTGCTCTCTGTCAGTGCATCTAATTCCCTGCCGCAGAGAGAAGGCCCAAGATAGCAAACTTGGAGGGGCAAGTTCCTCATTTGATGTTTTTCCTTGTTCTGAAGGGGCATGTTAAGAAAGCAGAGGTAGGATAGGGGTGGAATGGAGGAAGAGTGGGGTAGGCACAGAGATCTTGTGAGGCTGGCCTTCATGGTGTGGTTTTCCTATTTAGTCTGAACAGTTGTAAACCCTCCAAACACCTTCCATTTATTCAAGGCCAAATGCATTCTGACGGCCTGTAGAAAATGTCTGCCAGAGTACTGACATGAAGACTGGAAAGTCAACTATTTAAGAAAAAAATCATGTCATTTCAACTCCACTTGTTCCATTATGCTTACCTGTTTCCTGAAATTGCTTCAATAAAATGTCACTGAGCTCTCTAGGTGTTGACTGAGTCTTTGTCTCACATTCAGAGAGCAACCTTGCAACTGATGGGCTCTGAAAAGAGATGCCTTCCCCACATGAGGAATCCTTTGAAATGTGCTCCCCTGCTCTCTCGAGCTCTGGTCCTGGACTCCAGGGAGCCCAACACAAGTCAATGAGATCATCCTCTGGCCTGGCTGTGGCAGACAACGCTCTCCTGTGTTCACAGCTCTCCAATAAACCCTGCCTTCCAGTTCTTCCCACTATTATACTCATTCTGTCTGATAGGAAACGGCTGTGCTCTCTGATCTGGCCTCAACATTATTATCACGTTTAACACTGTTTCCCAGGCCCACTTCTGTGGTATGTACTGCAGGGCAAAATGAGAATCCCCTTCCCTGACATCATGCAGTTAGACAATGCCCCACTACAAATTCTTCTTGCCACCATCACCCATGGTCTCTTGCTACACCTATTACCTCCCTAAACCTTGATCTTCCCTTTCATACTCTGGAACCCAAAGTCAAGACTATTAAAGAGGCTGCTGTTGTTGCTACCTGCCACGGAGTCAGCCCCTGGCTCACTGTGGCCCCATGCACAATGGAAACAAATATGACCCAGTCCTGTACCATCTCCACGATCAGTGGCAGGTCAGACCGCTGTGATCCATACGGTTTCACTCACTGACTTTCGGAAGTAGATCACCCAGTCTTTCTTTCTAGTCCATCTTAGTCTGAAACTCCCCCTGAAACCTGCACAGCATTATAGCAACAGGCAACTGAGAATTCCAGAGGTCCAAGGAACTTTTGAATTCCATCTCCTAATCTCCAAGTGGGAAAGGTGAAGAACAGAGACGTCACAACACAGAATGGTGGCCCATTCCCAATTCCTAACCCCAGGCTTCTCTCCCTCAGAGCAACAGAACACAGTGATGTCAGAAAGAATAGGATTGAATCCCAATCTAATCCCATACCAACCTTGTGACTTTGGGAAGAGTAACCACTCAGCTTCTCAGTAATAGTAACTATGCCATAGTGTTATCATAACAATTAAATGAGATAATGAATGTAAAGTGCTGAGTGTGGTCCCAGCACATAGTAAGCACCCAATAAATGTTGCTGTTATTATTATTAGCTTGATTTTACCTGGGGGAAAAAAATGACAATGTGGAAGAGAAAGACCAGTCTGCCACAATGGAGGTTTCACTGATGAAATTGATGAAAAAGAGGAGGAAAGAAAAATAGAAAGGGACTTTAAGCACCTCCAAATGGTTGTGTCTGTGACCCAGATGCTTGGGGGGAAAGCTTGTATCCTGCATCCACCTGAAAAATCCCTGAGCGCATTGGCTGTCACCAGAGATGTCCTCAGGCTACAGCAGGCTCTGTCCACCTCAGGAAGACTCAGAAAGGCCTGGGAAGGAAGGAAAAGGAACATGATGGAATTGGAACCCCAGCGCTAATGGATGAAATCAGTACCTAAGTTGGAGTGGCCCAAATAGCCTTGGGGAGGAAGAATGTGCCTTTCTCGCCTCCCTTAAGCACAAAGCACCTTCACTTGAGTCCCCTGTACCCCTTTTTTACTAAATGGCTCCAGAGAGAAAAGTCAATGCCTGGAGCCTGGCTGCCCTCAGGAGCCCTGATGGGAAAGAGGGTAGCTCAGCCAGAGGCAGGACCCCACCTTCCTGAGGAGGGGAAGGTCTAGCCTGCTGTAGGAAGTCTTCTCCCATCCCAAAACTTTTGCTCCCTTGGAACCTCAAGGATAACCTAGGAGTCCATGGAGTCCACTTAGGTCTGGTGCATACTTAGAAAAACATAAAAACAGCCTTGGGAAAATAGAGCATCCTTAAGCCTCTCTAATTTGCCCTGTAATCCCAAGAGAGTCAAGGTATATAATTCATACTTCTCCCTCCCCTCCTATGAAACAGTACAAAGTTCCAACTCTCCCGTTCCTTGAGGCTGAGCTACTGACATGCCAAATGCATCTGTCTGGTTGACCCCTTTCATTACCTCCCCACCATAAACAAGGAAGGGAAACAAAAAGGACTCCTGTAGACCGGCCTGCTATAGCCACTGGCTTCACCTCTTTGCTCTTTGCTACCCTAATTATCCATCCTGGCACTTAGCAACTGCCAATATCCCAAGCTTATAAACCCAATTTAATGGTGATTTGGGGTTTGGCCCAGCTCAGCCCTCCATTCACCTGCTAGATAAAAGGGGGAAAGCTAAGCTGTGATCTAATAATTCATAACTCCCATTCTCCCCGCCTAAGTTCCCACCTCTCTGCCTCTCTGTTCTGCCATGTCTTGCCACTCTTTCCAGCCAGGTTTCAGGTGCGGAAGTCGGAACTTTAGTTCATTCACAGCTGTCATCCCCCGGACGGTGACCCATTATGCAGTGAGCAAGGGGCACTGCCGACCTGGGAGTGGCGGGGGCCTCCGAGCCCTGGGCTGCCTCGGCTCACAGAGCCTGTGCAACGTGAGCTTCGGGAGGCCCCGGGTTGCCTCTAGGTGCTGCCTGCCTAGCTTTGGGTACCGAGCAGGAGGCCCCTGTGGGCCTTCTCCTTGCATAAACCCCGTCACCATCAATGAGAGTCTGCTGGTGCCACTCGAGTTAGAGATTGATCCAACTGTGCAGAGGGTGAAGAGGGATGAGAAGGAGCAGATCAAGTGCCTCAACAATCGCTTTGCATCCTTCATCAACAAGGTAAGAGGCCGGGGCCCAGGTGGTCCAGGGCTGCAGGATTAGAATGACAGGGAACATGAGTGTCTGGTTCAGGGGGAGCAGGAAGACAATGACAATAAGAAGCCACGGTTTATCCATTAGCTCCTCCTTTAAGTCCACAATCACTAATTGTTGAAAGCTGGTTAGATCAGGTTCAACATAAAACAATTTTGTCACCTCATCCTTTTTTTTTTTTTAAGTATGTGTTCTCTCTCTGGATATTATCTGATAAAATCATCAAGGCTGTCTGAAGTTAGACTAAAAGAGGAACTTCCAAAGTAAGGAAAGGAATTACCAAAGAGGCAGAGAATTGTCATTCCTCACGAGACTTTTAAAATAGAGTCACATTCTGGGTGTTTGACCTGGGTTGAGACCCTTGGGCCTGGCTGTGGTAATAGGTTCTTTGATGCCAGAATTTGTCACCAGCTTAGGCATTGGATGAGCAGAAGTTTGAGTAGTCTGAGATAGGGACACAAGGTGACCATCACCTAGGTCTCTAAATCTCAGAGCTTGTGGTAGTTCAGTTTGTGTGTCAACTTGGCTGGGCCTGGTTGAGCAGCTGGGCAACTGCTGGTATTTATTCCCCATGATGAGACTGGCAATCAACTCCATGGTGGGATCTACCACAAGCAGCTGAGTAGCTGCCTTTGGGATGTGGTCTGCTTCCTGTATATAAGGAGAAGCCTCGGGATAGTCTCTAGCTTATGGCATGCTTGAACCCTGCATGTAGCCATGTCATTTTGTTCAGCAGCCTGCCATGTTCTGCTGACCTTGGGACTTACAATGGACTTGAATTAATGGCCTGCCGTGTGGTTTGATAACATAGGGACTGTGCCATTTTATTTGTTGACCTTGGACTTGTTAGCCTTAGCAGCCAGTAACTGCCTGAATGAAGAAAAGCCTCTAACTTCAGTGGGCCAGGAGTAGGAGGCAGAGCTAAGTAAAGTCCAAGGTCAAGGGGCTTTCACCCAGCCCCTAGAGCCTGGCACTTTGAACATGGACTTCTAACCTCCCGAACTGTAAAAGAATAAATTCCTGTTTGTTAAGGACATCCCATTTGTGGTATATATTCGTCAGAGTGGCAGTAGGTAACCAGAGCAGAGCCACAGCTCTGAAAGGCTATGGGAAGGGCAACATACTGCTTTTAGAAGGTACCAAGCCTGCCTGACACTCCTCAGCTGTCCTATACCCCAAGGGAAGCTCTCGGGATCAGGAAACAAGCTAGGGGATGAGCCGGTGTTTCTGGTAACCCCAAGGTTCACAGAGAAGACCTGGCCCCTAGTGCTGGCTCTCTCTCCCCTGTTACCCTGAAAGCCTCATGCAAGCAAGCCACTCTCCTTTCAGTCTCAATGACCCTACTGTGGGAGACAAAGGGGGGAATCAAAGGAGGTAACATATGCAAAAGTGTTTTAAAAAGGAATTCATTTTAGTCAAATGGTGACTGTTACACTTATAGTTTTCTTTTTAAAGCTTATTAAATTCTGGTTGTAAACTCATTCCACGACATGGGCCTTGATGGTCAACAATGTCACAATCACATCTGTAAGGGTGGAAGCCTCCGGTGATGGGTGTTGATGAGAAGCAGGGTAACATTAATTCTTCTGTTTTCTTGGGAGACAACGTACTTTATGGAGAATGTGCTTCCTTTGCCAATGGTCATGACCAACTCAGTCAGTTTTTCCTAATCCACAAAAATGAAGGTAGTGGGCCAACAGCTTCCTATTTACTGTGACCTTGGCATTTTTTGGACACAGTCATGCAGGATGCAGCAGAATAGGTGAAGAGTTTAGAGTCTTAGGACAAAACTTTTGATCTGATCTTCCCCCCTTGAGTGTTCCTGGGCTGTAATAAAAGCAAGACCATACTCCCAAGTATATTACCATTTTACATTAGTATGAAAATTTACAAAGTGCTCTGTCACACGGGACCTCCAATAGGAGTTGTAGGAAGCAAAGCAAGTCCTGAAGGGATGGAATGGCTTGGTCAAAATCACAAGGCTAGTGAGAGACAGGTAAGCAGGACTGGAACTTGGAACTGCCCGAGGCATCTTGGGACTGTACCATTTCTACTACAACATGCAACCCCTGAATGGAAGGCGGGGGGTCCTATAACTTCAGGCAGGGTAGACACTGAGGCAAATATCCTAAGAAATCAGTATACACAGAGACTGTAGTCTTTACATATTCTAGCACATTGGTAATGATGTGTTGGGAGAAAAGGCACAACCCTTTCCCACTTCCCTACCACCATCTACTCTCTCCCTCCAAGCCACAGTCCCCAGGGTTCCTGCTGCCTAGTGACATCACATTCTTGGCTGCAGGTCCGGTTCCTGGAGCAGCAGAACAAGCTGCTGGAGACCAAATGGAACTTCCTGCAGCAGCAGAGGTGCTGCCAGAGCAACATAGAGCCCATCTTCGAGACCTACATCTGCGCCCTCCGGAGGGAGCTAGATTGTGTGGCTGGGGATCGAGCAAAGCTGGAGTCAGAGCTCTGTAGCCTCCAGGACGTGCTGGAGGGCTACAAGAAAAAGTGAGTCTGCCCCACTCACTCACCCATGAGGGGTGAAAGAGGCATGAACTCTGGAGCCTGATAGATACCATCACAAGCCAGCTGGGGACCTAGGACCTGTTTTCCCATCTATAAAATAGAAAGCCTAAAACTTAGTCCCTTAGGAGGTAGAACAACTAAGTGGGATAATAGAGGTAGACCATCTATATACTGCCCATTTATGTCATGGTGGTGGTGTTAGTTGCCAATGAGTTGGCCCCAACTCATGGCCACCCCATGCCCAATGGAACAAAATACTGCCTGGTCCTATACTATCCCCATGATTGACTGCAGATCAGGCCATTGTGACCCACAGGGCTCCCAGTGGCTGGTTTTCAGAAGTGGATCACCAGGGCTTTCTTCCTAGTCCATCTTAGTCTGGAAGCTCTGCTGAAATCTGTTCAGCATCATAGTAACATGCAAGCCTCTACTAACAGACAGGTAGTAGTTGTGCTTGAGGTACATTGAGCTCTGAAATGATATATTTCCCTCTTTATCTCTCTTCCCACAACCCCACCTAAAGAAGGCCCTCATTCTCTCTCTCACTGTAAGCCAAATTCTCCCACCTGCCATTTCAGCCACTGCAGATTTCTGCTGCAAACCACCTGGCCTGCCCTATCTTACATCAGTCCCTTTGCAGATCCTGAACTACTTCCTAGTTCCCAGACTCCCACACCTTCCTCCCTCCAAGCTTTTGCTCCTGCTGCTATCCCTTTTACCTGATAAGCCCTCTCTCTAATAAGCATTTCTTCATACCACTTGCAAGCTAATATGTTGTTGTTAGTTGCCCTTGAGTTGATTCTGACTCAGGGCAAACCTACGTGTGCAGAGTAGAACTGTGGGCTTTCAAAGCTGTGATCTTTCAGAAGCAGACGGACAGGCCTGAATTCCAAGAAGCCTCTGGGCAGTTTTGAACTGCCCGCCTTCCTGATAATAGTTTAACCATTTGCATCACCTACAAACTTCTGCAGGCTAATGTAGCTCACGTTTTCTCTCCATCCCTGATTTCTTGCTTCCTGAATCCCTTGCTGTCACAACTAGAAATAATCACTCTCTGCTCTCAGTTCCTACAGCTCTATCAGGGCTCTATCTCCCTAGATCTCCTCCTAGCCCTTCCTGATTACCTTATCCATCCTGCTAGACTTGCCCTTCCCAAGGGCAAGTTCTAGGATCTGATTCACAGCCTGGAGAGGGCAGTTGATAAGTGTATGTTAATAAAGGATGTGCAAGCAAGCAGAATCAAGTATCTGCAAGAGGTTGAAACTCAGACAAATTGCTATCACTATCACAGGTCCTGGGGGACTCATCCTGGGTCAGTGTCCCAAGGGAGTGCACTTTTTGGTGGGGGAGGGGATGAACCAGGCCTATTTCTAGTGATGAGAAACAAGTACAAATCGATTGAGAGCAATGACTGATAAGAATGTGGGTCCAAAGGGTGAAGCCAGGTGGGAGACTCTAAGGTGGCAAGTGTCAACTCTGTGCCTACCTGACACCAGACTCTGATGGAGGTGTGGGTGATTCAGAGAGGAAAAAGGCTGGCTCCTTCCTGCAAGATGCCCCAGTCCAGAACTGTAGGAACTGAGAGCAGAGAGTGATTATTTCTAGTTGTGACAGCAAGGGATTCAGGAAGCAAGAAATCAGGGATGGAGAGAAAATGTGAGCTACATTAGCCTGCAGAAGTCTGTAGGTGATGCAAATGGGACCACTCACGCATGCTGAGACAGTTACAGTGTGAGAAAGAGCAGGGGGGAGAGGAATCCTAAAGGAGGGAGAGAGCAGAAGGGACCCAGGAAGGTCCTAAAGGAGGTGCCATTTGCTTGGGATCTTGAAGGCAGGTACTCTGTGAACAGGTACACTGTTATCCTCATTCTACAGTTGATGAAATGGGCCACAGAGAGGTTAGATAATTTGCCTAAAGTCACAAAACTATCAAGTGACAGAGCTGGGATTCAAACCCAGGATATCTGGCTCTAATAGGCAACGTCAGAGCCTCAGTGGTGTTCTGCTGAAAAAAGGAAAGATGGGCGTCAGGAAGCGCAGTGAAGCTTTTAATGGCTCAAAGTCATTCATCAAACTGAGTCATTCGGAACCCCTGAACTTGATTTCCTCGCCTTGGGGAGCAGTGAATACAGGCCAAGGAACACTCTCGGAGCCTAGGAAATAACTGGGTCGCCTCTATGGGCCCAGTAAAGAGGGTAATTGCTACCTCTGCAACTAAAATGCCAGGTCAAGGCCAGGCTCAGAACCTCCTGGTGAAGAGGGGGCAAGAGGTCCACCAAAAATTTTAGTGACCTCAAACAACTCTCAGCACAAGTCCAAAGAGACAGAGTTATGCCACCAGCAGCCAGCCAACCTTCCTCCACCTTCCCAGAGGAAGTAATCAGATAAAATGGGCTTCCTTAGCAGGAAGATACAATGGGGGTAGCTTAAAGAAAGACTTAGCAGGGGGTGATTCATCACAAGAATAGGCTACTGGGGGGAGAGGGTCAACATGAAAAATGGTTAATGAGAGGCTATGATAATCATCTGTGTTGAATGGCAGGAGGGGCTAGAGGCGCCCAGAGGCAGGCCGCTGGACCTGGTGACCCCTTAGGGCATTCGGCCAGAAAGAGGCAGATGTGGAACCTAAAGGCCCCTTCCCTCAGGTCTGGAACCAATGCCTTTTCCTAACTCCACAAGCCTGACTAAAACATTTCTTTCTGCCCATCCCTCCAGATATGAAGAGGAGCTCTCCCTGCGACCTAGTGCTGAGAATGAGTTTGTCGCCTTGAAGAAGGTGAGGGGGCATGGGAAAGAGTGGAGGCAGAGGCCCTGTGCTGGCACAGCTGGCCTAGGACACCAGCCCCTGATCTGTAGCCAAAAGTGTCTGCAGCCTACCCACCCTATAAAATGGTCTTCCCCTGCTCAGACGCCCGTGCCAGCCCCACTGTCCCTGGAAAGGGGATGACAGCCTCTTCCTACCCCTTGCAAAGGGGCAGTGATTGACCTGGCCTCAACCTCCCAACTCACTTGGGCCAAAGCAGGCTAAGGGTGGCATCTACACCCACCCAAGAGACTGGAGAGGTGGCTAATCCCAAATCAAAAACAAAACAAACATTCTGACAGGAGCACTCCAAGATGAAAATGATTGTGATGATCCCTCACACAGATAGCCACATGTTTCTAGGCCTTAACTCCACAAAGTGAGCTCTGAGGAGCCACTGCCAAGGCCCTTTTACATCCTTGCTCCCTTCAGATTCTTCCCCATCAGCACTCCAGGCCACAACCTGGAGTCCTGGAGCTGGGGACACCCACTCTAGCCTTGGCTCTGTCACTCATTTAGACCCATGGGTCTAAATGAGGTAAGGTGGGTCTAAATGAGGTAAGGTGGGACCTGAATCTGTCACCTGCCACCGCGTGGCCTGGTAGGGGGCCCTGGCTAGTGGAGGGTGGTCCTCTGAGGAGAGATTGCTGGGAGCCAGACCACAGCCAGTGCCCCAACTCCAGGTTACTGTCTCTCACTGCTCTGCCACAGGATGTGGACACAGCCTTCCTGATTAAGGCAGACCTGGAGACGAATGTGGAGGCTCTGCTCCAAGAGGTCAACTTCCTGAGAAGCCTGTATGAGGAGGTACTTGCTGCCAGGCTGCCCACCAGATGGTCAGTCTGTGCCAGTCCTAAGGGAGCAATGGGGTGGGCAGGCTCCTGCCCACGGGCATGTTTCCAAACTAGCAGACTTAACAGTGAGCACTTAATGACATCAGTGAGGACGGAGGTTTTCAGGCTGTGAGACCCCCAGATCTTTCAGACCTGGGCTCTCAGATCCCTCTGGGAAAGTTTCCACAAGACTGGTTCTAACTAGAGGGTGGAGACAAGGAGCAAGTTGATTGGCTGACAATGGCTATAATAAAGTTAAATCTGGAAAATCCGTTACCAGAAAGTCAAAACAGGTTTCCCGCTTTCTTCTCACAAATCCCTTCCCCCATTTCCCTCCCCTTTATCCTACAGAAGGAGCTCTGGTGGCATAGTGGGTAAGGCATTCAGCTAACCAGAAGGTTGGTGGTTCAAATCCACAGGTGCTCCACAGACTACAGATGAGGCAGTCTACTTCTATAGAGATTTGCATGCTTGGAACCTAATGGAGGGTCACTATGAGTAGGAATCAGCTTGATGGCAGTGGCTTTGGGTTTTTGGTTTTATCCTAAAAAGCTCACTCATTCTCCCCTGGGGCTCTCCCCCAGGAGATCTGCCTGCTCCAGTCTCAGATCTCAGAGACCTCGGTCATTGTGAAGATGGACAATAGCAGGGAGCTGGATGTGGATGGCATCATTGCTGATATCAAGGCTCAGTACGATGACATCGCCAGCCGCAGCAAAGCTGAAGCAGAAGCCTGGTACCAGTGCCGGGTGAGGTTCAGGGAATATGAGGTAGATAGGAAGTGACCCCAGACCCATTTCCTCCAGCAAGCAGGTGAGGAGTTAATGAGGGACATGCCGTACCCTAGCCACACAGAACTCCATAAACTCCAACCCCTGTTGTTGTTGCCAGATCCCAGGCCAGGTCCCTGCAAAGCATGTAGGAGGGGACCCACAAACAGACCAAGCCTGTCATCAAGGTGCCATGGGCTCCCAGCTTTATTGACCTGCAGACGCACCAGAAGTTCTTTATTTACCTCTATGCCAAGCCTGTAAGCAACAGTCAATAAATAGTAATTGGTGATGAGGGCAAAGAGGGCTCTGGGCTTCAAGGCGTAGGAGGGGCTGATGGCATGGGGTGGTTACTAATGGTGGGACAGAAACAGTGATTAAGGTGACCCATACTCAGGTAATTAGAGGCTTGTTGGGAGGGCAGGGGTGCCCCTGAGGGCAATTCAATTTAACAGTATTATCATCTCAGTCTCACCTACCCTGCCTGTGAAAGGCACCATGCATATGTCCATTCAGTCACTCACTCACTCATTCATTCAGCAACTGTTTATCGAGCACCCATCAAGTGCAGTACCAGATACTGGAGTGCCAGCAGGAAACAGAACAAACACAGTCCCTGCCTCAAGATACTTTCATTCTAGAGGTAGAAGAGGCAGACAATAAACCAAATCAATAAAGGCAATGGATGTGTGTTAGTCGCTGACTAAGTGCTATGGGGACAATAAATCAGGGTAAAGGGTAGGGGGTGGTGTGGGGTGTTACTGTAAACAGGGAGATCAAGGAAGCATGCCCTTGTTAAGGAATGTGACCCTGAAAGAATATGACCATCCCTGTCCTCGAGGAGACTAGGGGCAGGGAGGAGGAGAGGTGTGGAAGGAAACCTAACAAAATACGAGGTCACATGGAGTTATTGTTAAAACTAGCAGCAGGCAGCAGCCTGTGCGGATGATGAGAGAGCAAGAAATTGTGTCTGGAGAGGCAGGGGCAATGCCATTTGATCTGAAGCTTGACGGACAAGTAGGAATTCAACAAGCAGAGAACAGCGGGTAGCTGGTCAGGCTGAGAAGCAGCAGGAGCCAGGACAAGGAAGCATGAAAGTGCCTGGCTGAGTTACCTGGAGTGCGATGTTCTATGAAGGAGATCAGGCCAAGAGGTGTACAGGGACAGATCACAGGAGGTCTACAGAGCTATGCTAAGTACTTCGGACCTTTTTCTGCTCATTGCTCAGGAAGAGCTCCAAGTGATTTTCTATCCATTTTCTAAAGATACATGGTGATCAGAAGTAGCAAATCTTGGCCTGGAGTTAACTCCTGATCCATCCACAGCCAGGTTTCACCCTAACAGGCCCTTCCTCAGGTTGCCTTCCCGGACCACTGGGAGTCAGGTAGTCCCAGAGAATACAATTTCATTTTCCTACTCTCCTAAGTCAGACAGAATCAGAAAGACAACTCTGTTAATTTAGCTATGAGGAACAGAAATCAAACAATAGTTAAAACAGGTTTTTACTTTTTTCTCAAAATAACTTGAAGTATAGAAATTGATTTCCAGGGATGACATGGTGGTTCTCTGACGTGAGGGTCCTTCTACATCTCCATCATCCTTAACACATATGCTCATCCTCATAGCCGCCTCATGTCCCCACATGGCTGCAATACCCCTAATCTCACATACTCATTCCAGGCAGGAAGAAGGAGAAGAGAGAGCAGAAGAAACATGCCAGCTGAGTCAGCCTCCACTTTACAGACTTTCCCTGGAAGCCCTACCCAGCAATGTCTATAGTTCTCACTGGTGACAACTATATTGCAAGTACTCTGTAGCTGCAAGGAAGGCTGAGAAATAATTCTCTTATCTGGGCTCATTGCCACTCCCAAATAAAAGTAGTGTTCCTTTTTTAAGAAGAAGAGGAGAATAGATATTGGTTAGGTAACTGCAGGGTCTCCCACAGTAATCAAATAATGAAAGAACCAGAGAGTGACTCTGTGATTAACTCTTATTTGGGGTTTTCTATGCAATACGCTCTTATCTATTATATGCAGGAAATCTAGAAGCAGCCAATTAAAAAAAAAAAAAAAAAGACTTATAACTGTAAGCTGTGACATTTACTATACAGAAATTGTTTTCAGAATGCAAAGGTTTAAAAAAAGGTAAGTCATGGTAGGATGTAATATTGCATTTTATTTTTAATTGTTTTGAGAGAAAACATAAAATCATATTCACCCAATAGGCATATATAGTCTGATCTCAGTCTCTCATTAGTTAGGTATCACAGGCTGAACTTAGAAACTCCTTCTGAGATCTGGAGGGGTATCTGAAAGGGAGAGCCACCTTTGGGAGACTATTAGGCTCTGGGTCAGAGAAAACAGGATGAAACATTGAGAAAACGATGAGACACAGAAAAGCTAAGCAGAAAATAGGTGGTAATGGACCTTAGAGGACAACTTAACAAGCCTGAAGATGCATGGCTTCAAGGTGAGAAGGGAGGATAAGGAACAGCCCATAGAATGACACTGGAATTGGCCAGAAATGGAGAGGACACAGGGGCAAAACAGCTGTAAGAATCCAGACAGCACCTGAGCTAGGATCACAGGAGAAGGGACTCAGGGCAGAGAGGAAGAAGCTAGGACATGCCATAGTGGGGGGGCCTGGGGTTCTGACCTCCTCTGTCCTGACAGTATGAGGAGATGAGGATGACAGCTGGAAACCACTGTGACAACCTCCGCAACCGCAAGAATGAGGTCCTGGAAATGAGCAAGCTGATCCAACGGTTGCAGCAAGAAATTGAGAATGTCAAAGCCCAGGTAAGGCCGGGGTAGACTTCACTGTTTGAGAACCCATCGGAGGATGACCTGCTGTCTGGGCCATGTGGGGCAGGTCCAACACTTCCATTGCTGTGGAATTGGGAACAGACTTGTGCTGCCTTGCTTAACAGGAAGGGAGGGAGCTCTTTCTGCAGAAGAGCTGATCTGAGTCAGAATGAGCAGCCTCAAGAAATATGAGGTCCCCAACACAGGCTAGCTGACCTACTGTCAAAGATGAAATAGCAAGGGTCTTCACTCAGTGGGAGTATAGAAAAGATGGTCTCCGTGGCCCTTTCCAACCCAAAGACACTGTAAGTTTCTGATCCTGAAATTCAAAGTGACTCTGAGGAGTTCAGAAAACCAGACCCACTCTGTTCTCCAAGGCTAGTGAAGACCAGCCAAATGCTTAAAATCTACTAGTCCCCCAAAAAATTGCTCAACATATCCAGGAAGGAAATCTCAGATCCCTTTGAAGTGTTGTAGACAGGAGAGCTGCTCCCAGTTCCGTGGAGGAACTATATGTCGCAAGCCTAAAATGAAACCCACAGCAGATTTGAGTCTAGTATATAACCATCACCATGTCCTCTGCTCTTCTGAGAATCCACTCTGGACTCCAGGGGCCCCTATCCCACTTTTCTGTGCCCTTTCCCCCAGCGCTGCAAACTCGAAGGTGCCATAGCTGAGGCAGAGCAGCAGGGCGAGGCAGCCCTCAGCGACGCCAAGTGCAAGCTGGCCGGGCTGGAGGAGGCCCTGCAGAAGGCCAAGCAGGACATGGCCTGCCTGCTCAAGGAGTACCAGGAGGTGATGAACTCCAAGCTGGGGCTGGACATCGAGATCGCCACCTACAGGCGTCTACTGGAGGGTGAAGAGCACAGGTGAGCTCTGGGAGAGCGTATTAGTCAAGGATGGGTATTAAATGTGTGTACTGCTCAGCCCTCTAGTTGCTGCTGCTGCTGCTATGCGCCCAGACTCACTGAAAATTCAAACCTGCACACAGTCCATAGCCCTCATAATTAGCATGGTCCATAGTAAGGACACCTAGGAGCTCTGGTAGCATGGTGCCTAAGGCACTTGGACTGCTAACCAGAAGGCTGGCGGTTCAAACGCACCAGCCACTCCTTGGAAGGAAGGTTGGGCAACCTACTTCCGTAGTGATACTGCCTCGGAAACCCAAGGAGGGGTCACTATGAGGAGCCCTGGTGGTGCAGTGGTTAAGCACTCGGCTGCTAACCAAAAGGTTAGCAGTTTGAACCCATCAGCCGCTCCACAAGAAAAGGATATGGCAGTCTGCTTCCATAGAGATTACAACCTTGGAAACACTACGGGCAGTTCTACTCTGTTCTATAAGATCACTGTGAGTTGACATTAACTAGATGACAACTAGTATGGTGAGGACAGGAGAAGAAAGTTGCAAACCCATACCTGCCTTGTTCTCTTTGATGCAGTTACTTTGTGTTTGTTTGTTTTTTTTTTTTCTCTTATCCCCAGGCTGTGCGAAGGTATCGGGCCTGTGAATATCTGTGAGTAGAGGAGCCATGCTTCAAGGGCTGGTGGGTCTTGGGGGTTGATCAGGCTAACATACACAACCTACACTGTCCCTGTCGAGACCTCTGCCCCAACCCCAAAAGAAGAGCCCTGTCTGTCAGGAGCTCCTTGTCTGATGGAATGCTCCCTCCAGGCTCTCTTTTGGGTATCAGAACTAGGAGCAGATACACAGAATGGCTTTAGTACTTCAAGGCTTATAAGCTGCAAGGAAACATTGACAAGGGGACACTTTTCTAAAGAAAGGGAATTCGAAGCAGTCTCAAGAAAGAAGGACAAGACAAGCAGAAACATAAAAGTGATCCAGATATCAGGAATAGCCTTGCCAAGGCTCTGGGGAAAGGAACGTGGGAACCTCTAAACACTATGTGGCCAGAGTAGGGAGACATGGACATTGGTAGCTGGTGTTGGGGGTATCATGAGAGGTGAGTGGCAGCAAATAGGGGGCATGGCTTGGCTGAAACTTTTCAGGGCAAACGCCCTTTGTGACATGTGGTGGTGCAGGGCCCTGACTGGACACCCCTTCCTGTTCCCACAGCTGTGAGCAGCTCCAAAGGTGCTGTCCTCTATGAACCCTGTGTAGTCAGCACACCCATGATGAAGACGGAGTACTGCCCAGCAGGCACCAGTGTCTTGCGGAGCAGTGGAGGCTGCAGCATTGTGGGAACCAGTGAACTCTACATCCCCTGCGAGCCCCAGGGGATGCTGAGCTGTGGGAGTGGGCGGAGCTCCAGCATGAAGCTAGGGGCTGGGGCCAGCTCCTCTGGCCATAAGTGTTAGTCCCTTCCCAGAGGCTGAAAGCTCAGGGAACAGGGTCCCACCACCCTAACTCTGGATGTTGCATCCCATTGGAGCTGAAGAGAAGGGTATTCCCAAATCTCCATCTCCCTGTATTAATTCCAAATTTCCCCTGGTTTTATCTGGGAGCAGCCTCTCAGGTCCACCCATATCTTAGTTATGTGCAGGTGCTGACTTAGTCTCTAAGGGTAAGGGTAGGATGCAAAGACTGGACTGGTGACAGTTCAGCCCTAGTGTGGCCAAGAGAAGCTACCCCCAGCACTTCTCCTCGAGATGAGAAGACCTGTTTTGTAGATGATCCTATGGAAGTTTCCCCATAAGACCAGCTTCCCCTGCCCCAGAGGGCTCCCCCACTCACCTTACCTCTGGCTATTTTGCATCCTAAGAAAAGTGAACCTCTTTCATGCTCACCTAAAATATACACTATTGCAAATGTCAAAAGGTGACACCCCATATCTCATTCTGAATTCCAAAGCCAACAGCCAGGATTTCAGGGTCACTCAGGACCTGCCAATGTTCCTCTCAACACAGGGAATTGAGAGGTAGTCTTCGGATTGTAGCTCTACCTGCTCAGGTCTGTTGAACTCACAGTATGAAAAAGAGTCTTTTTCCTGAGTCCACATGGGCAGCTGAGGGAGGGAGGCACCCAGGAAAATGCCTAGAACAAAGGGCAAGGGGACATGGAATATTTACTGGAGAGACCAATGATAAAAAGCTAAAACTATTTCCTCAGTGCAATCAAGCACCTTCCCCTCCCCTCCTCTTGTAAATAGCCACCTGGTTCCTGTTCCCTCTCCTTTAGTTTCTCTTGCTTTGCATCTGATGTGCACATGTTTCCCTAGCTACCCTGATGTGGAGCTCCCCCGCCTACTTGTAGGCTTTGGCTCAGGGGCTGGGAGAGTTCACCTAACTGAGGTGGGAGGAGGTGCTGAGTTGACTCCACCTCCTCAGAGATCCTGCCCACAATGTGCCTCACCCAGAAGCCCCTCCCACTCTCCATCTTAGCCCCTCCCACCAGGGAATCCTAGGTCCCAGCAGTGAAGAGCTTCTGAGATTTTATGTTCTAATAAACTGACTCTTGGTCACAGGCTACAGGAATCATGATTATTCAGCCTGCTCTGTGGGTGCAGTGAGGCTGAGGGGAAACCAATAAGCAGGCTCTGGTGAATGGGTGGCTTGAGACTGTAATTAAAGGTTGTTATAGAAATGGGAAAACTATACGTGAATGATTTGCAAGGAGAATAAATATGGATCTGTAGAAATCACACTTAAAACCTGCACTTAAGTCATTTGTCACATAAAAGCCATACACCTACTGCACAGAGGCCTTCTCATATGTCCTAGAGAAAATCCTGGGGGCATCCCTATCCTGTCTATACTTAAAACACCAGTTGCTGGTGGGGTCTCATGGCGACCCTATGTGTGTCAGAGTAGAACTGTGCTCCACAGGGTTTTCAAGACTGATTGTTTTTGGAAGTAGATCACCAGCCTTCTCTTCCAAGGAACCTCTAGGTAGACTCCAACCTATCAGTTAGCAGCTGTTTGCACCATCAAGGGGCTCCTTGTCAATCTTTGTTGTTGTTGTTGTTATGTGCGGTTGAGTTGGACCTGACTCATAGCGACCCCTCCTTGGGTTTCTGAGGCAGTATCACTACAGAAGTAGATTGCCCAACCTTCCTTCCGAGGAGTGGCTGGTGGGTTTGAACCGCCAGCCTTCTGGTTAGCAGTCAAGTGCCTTAGGCACTATGCTACCAGAGCTCTTTATTGTTGTTATTGTTGTTGTTGTTGTTATGTGCAGTCAGGTTGGACCCAACTCATAGCAACCCCTCCTTGGGTTTCCGAGGCAGTATTACTACAGAAGTAGATTGCCCAACCTTCCTTCCGAGGAGTGGCTGGTGGGTTTGAACCGCCAGCCTTCTGGTTAGCAGTCAAGTGCCTTAGGCACTATGCTACCAGAGCTTAGCCCCCAAATCCTAGGCCTTCCCCACCTGGTCCATCCCAGCTGGGGAAAGCAATCAAGATGGGCAGCAACCAGTGAGAGAGGAGGACCAGAACACTCCTGTCTCCTTTCTCCTTTGTTGTTGTTGTTAGTTGCCCTTGAGTGGATTCCAACTCATGGTGACCCCATGTGTGCAGACTAGAATTGCTCCATACAGTTTTCAAGGTTATGACCTCTCAGAAGCTGATTGCCAAGCCTATCTCCTGAGGCAACTCTGAGTAGGTTTGAACCAGCACCCTTTCAGCTAATAGTCAAGCATGTAACCTTGTACGACCCAAGGACTCCTCTCCTGTTAGGGAATCCTAAATCTTAGGCTCTGCCTCCCCACCCCCAGTCCATTCTCAGTGCCCACACAGTCCTGGTCTAGGGGAAGTAGTCAAGGGGGCCAGCAGCTGGCAAGGAAGAAAGCAGGACACTCCAGTCTTCTCTTAGTCTCTTAGGGAGCCCCAAGACCTGGAGACAAGACCTGGTCAGCAGTGGCCCCACCCTCTATGAGACCCCATACCCCTTCCTGTTACTTTACTTTCTCCTATCACTATTCTTCCTCAGGGTCTCTCTTGCCTTGGTGGGTGCCTCATCTGAGAGCTGGGGTACAGCCTCCCTCCCCCAGAGCCCCATGCTGAATATCTATTCTATGCCAAACCCTGCATTAGAAGCTGGTGATACAGAGGTGACTAAGATACTCTCTTAACCCTTGAAGAACTCTCAGCCCCATGGAGGAGTCATAAATAATGAGTGCCAAAGAAAATGGGAGCAGCCAGGTAAGGCCACTGTTGAGTAAGTCTGGGAAAGGGGGTCAGAGAGAAGTTCACAGAGAAGATTGTAAGAACAAAGTCTGAAAGGAAGCCCTGAGTTGCTACTTTGTGGGCATCATTCAGAAGACCCACTCATTCAGTTTTTCATTCACTTGACATATATTTAATCAAGCATGTGCTATGGGTCAGGTTACCCAGGGGCTGGCTATACAGAGGTGGATAAGATATGCCAGGCAGGGCCAACTGATCCAGAAGGCAGAGAAGACACAGAGCCTAGATAGGGCCTATGATCTCTTTAAAGGCCCATAAAAAATGTTTTAATTTGAATTTCTTTCAATATCAGAAGAAAGATTATAACATAAGAAATATAAATAATGAATAATATATAATAATGAATCCAGCGTGGACTATATTTGTCTTTATACCAATGCAATTATAAAATACTATTTTTTATTATAGTTTGGGTGAAAGTTTACAGCACAAATTAATTTTGCATTCAACAATTTAGACACCTTTTGTTTCATAACATTGGTTGTAAGCCCCTCAATGTAGCTGTGTTCTCCCCGTTTCCTCCCTGGGTTCCCCACTTCCCTTGTCCTTCTTTCCTGCCCTTTTCTGCCTTCTGGGGTTTGTTTTTTGGGCAAATGCTGCCCTTGTGGTGTCCTATGGTTGAATTTACTGAGAAGTACATTCCTGCCTGGTGTTATTTTTCACTTTATAGGCCTATTGTTTGGCTGAAGAGCTCTGGTGATATAGTGGTTAAAGCTTTAGACTGCTAAACAAAAGGTCAGCAATTCAAACCAACCAGCCACTCCAAGGAAGAAAGATGAGGCAGTCAGTTTCTGTAAAGATTTACAGCCTTAGAAACTCCATGGAGAAGTTCTACCGTGTCCTATAGGGTCGCTATGAGTTGGAATTGACTCAATGGCTTTGGATTTGGTTTTGGTTTGGATTGCTTGCCTGAAAGTTGATCCTCTGGGGTGTTTCAGTTCCAGGCTTGAAGGGTGTCTCTAGGCCACAGTCTCAGGGGTTCCACAGTCTCCATCAGACCAGTAAGTCTGGTCATTTTTATGTTTTTGAATTTTGTTCTACATTAAATATGTTTAATACTTCTTATGAAGGAAGGGGTCTACAGAAGACAAATTGTAGCCCAGGTCCCAACCCACACCTCATGGAGTTCCCAGCCCAACAGGGAATACAGACCTGGAAACTGACAGAAAGCCATGGAGGCATTGCTGAGGGTGCCACCTTACCCATGGGCATCAGGACACTCTCCAGGAAGAGGTCAGGCAAGCCTGAATCCTGAGGATGGTGGAGAAGGTAGTAGTCTGAGTGAGGGAGCAGCCACTGTGAGCCAGAGCACAGATATATGCCCAGAGTGACTGAGAGTGTGTATGACTGAAGGATGTGCACACATCCACTGTGGAGAGAGGGCAGGGAATGTGGGGTCTTGAAGCCTCAGTGTCCCTTGAAGCTACACCACTCTAGCCCCAGGGCACTCTAGCCCAGAGTTGACAGAAACCAAGATTTCAAGGAGACACCCACCTTTATGCACCACTGGGATTTTCTGACTGACTTAGGAATCTAACAGGAGAGGGAAGGAAGACTTCTGCTGCCTCCCTCCAAGGTGGGCTCCAGGCCATTCCTTGGGGACTTCATGTTCCAGAGTGCCAGGGCCTCTAATGAGTATATGCTGGGGAGAGGACGTTGTTTGGAACCATCCTTCAAACCTGCTCATCCCAACAGTAAGAGATGCCCCATCCAAGTTCTGGACCAAGCTCAGAGATCTCCAGAACATCTTCCAGAGACGCCCCCTTCAGTGCTATCCAGGGGTGCTCCCATTCGTCCCCTCCTCCCTGCAGAAGGAGATGACTCAGGGCAGATGAGACAAAAGTGCCTCCTGGTGGTGACTGGGCTGGTTCCCATTCCATTCATCTCAGCAATTATCTCCTGAGCTTCTCCTCTGGGCCAGCCCCTTTGATGAGTACTGGGGATACAGGGATGACTAGGCCCCCTTGCCCTCAGGGAAGAAGAGACTTGGGCAATGGAAGGAGAATTGTCTACAGGAAGCCAGAGCCTCATTTTATTTAACTTATCTCAGGAATCCAAATTCAAGGTTCCTTCCAAAGGAAGGAACCTTCCCCCCATGAAGACAGAATGGGAGAACCCCAAAAGGCATGGTGAGGGTAGATGATGGGAAATGAAGCTTCTTGTCAGTGCATCTGTCCCCCCAGAACTTCCACTTCCCTTGTCCCTCCCTGTCTTTTCCTCCCATAGTTCCCAAGCGCTCACCCAGACCTCTCTTCTCCTCATACTGCCCTTCCTTGCTGCACTGCCCCCTCCAAGACACCCTCTGCTTCTGCCCCCAGTGACTCTTGTCCCATCACACCAGTGAACCTAAGTCCACCCCTACCGCCACTCTCCACCCTTATGTATCCAAATGCCCAGAAAGAATGCTGGAGGGGCTACCATTGGAGGAATTGGCTTCAGAAATGGCCTTGTGAGTAGAGGAGGGAGATCTTAGGCCCACTGAGTCTCATAGAAGAAAAAGGACTGCATCCCAGCCACTCAGCACCTACATGTAATGCTGGACACATATCACAAAGCATTAATTGCCTTCCAGTCTATTTCAACTCATGGCTGTGTGCATCAGAGTACAACTTGCTCCACAAGGTTTTCAGTGACTGTGACCTTTCAGAAGTAGATTTCCAGGCCTTTCTGCTGAGGCATCTTTGGGTAGATTTGAACGTTTAACATTTCAGTTAACAGCTGAGCCCCCAGTAAATGTTTGTTGAAGAAAAATGAACTTAAAGCCTACAAGGAGGAGCATTTTTCACTCTGGACAGGTGGTACCTGCGTGAGTGATGTGAGGAACTTGGATTAAATCTGACAGAGTCATCCTGCTTGGGAGGAGTGTGGAACCAGACAAAGGGCTTATCTCTCCCAGGAAGGTGTTTAAATGCCATAAGAACATTCATTAGTCTAAGAGGGCAGAGAGGTGGATGTACTGGGCAAGGGTGGACTTACCACCCCTGGCTGTCTCCTCCTGCTTGGGGACTCCCCAGCTTCCTTTCCCAGCAGGGGCAGGTCTCAGCATGCAAGCCTCACCAGCAAGTGCCTCTCTGCAGCACAAACTCATCCCCAGGCAAAACAGAAGCATTCTGAGGAAAGCCTTCTCAGCGTCTGGACCGCCTCTCACACACAGCCACAGCGAGTCAGGGGTCCCAGTCCTTTCTTAGCCAACCTGAGTTGGGTCCCTCTCCTCCTTCCACTGCTCAGCAATTTTCCCTCCTCCTTGCTCCACTGATGGCATCATGATGACCCAGCAATCATCACACACAACTGAGGCACTAGGGCTGGGCTCAGACAGCAGATGTCCGGATTATGATCAGGTAGACTGACAACAGTCAGAAGAAACTGACACAGCAGCAAAAGCTCCAGCCAGAGTTGCCAGGGCAACTCCTCCCCCTCTCCCCACCTGAAAAAAATGGCTGAGGATGGTGTTATGCACGCATGGTCCGGAGAAATGATGTTTCAGAACTATAAACTGCTGATGGAAACAGCTCATTCCAGAACAGCGGTTATGCTTGACTGGTTCCTATTACTCCCACCCCACCCGGACAGTCAGGGCTGAGGAAGCTGATCCAGGGCACCCCCAGAAACGGCTAATGGCGTAATGAATGTCACAGCCACTGGAACAGGAAGGAGGTGGAGTGCTGGATTGGAACAGAGATGCCTGCTTAGAAGTGAAGGGAAGATTTGTTAAAGAGAGAGGAGGGAGAGAGGAAAAGAGGGAAAGGGAAAGAAATAGATGATAACAATAGTAACAGCTGCCAGGCACTATGCAGTGTATACCTCAAACATTTTCATAGTTAATCCTCACAACAACACTGTTAAATAAATATAGGTCCATTTTACAGATGAGAAAACTTAGTCTCAGAGAGGTTATACCATTTTCCCAGTTTCGTTGACATACCATGGTAGGGGACAGGCTGCTATTTGACTACTTAAGTTGTTTAGAATGGCCGGTGCATGGTGATAATAAAATGCAGACCAACTTTTAGTTTATGATTGATTTTAAGTTCTGTACAGACAAGCACCCTCTTATTGCCTGCACCCAGTGCAGAACCCTCCCATAATCCTGTCTTCTGTGTACCACTGCCCAGGGTCACACTGCTGGTAGATGGCAAGGCTGGGCTGAATGCAGGACCACCTGGCACCAAAGGTTGTGTCAAGCTTCTGTGCTCAGCCTACAAGGCCTCAGCAAACTTGCTGCTGCTCTTTAGGCCATCCTTTCTTCTCTCAACCCCTCTTCCTTTAGCTCTTTCCCCGCTGGCCCTCTTCTCAGTCTCCTGGATCCCCTCACCTATCGTGAGGAGATATGGAGATGACCTTTCCTCCAAGCAGCCAGACTTAAATCTCAAGAGGCTGAAGCTGGAAGAGCAACTGTGTTGGTTCCCCTGTGAGCTCGTAAGTTTCTGCACTATCATCTCAAGGGCATTCCTGCCCATTTTGGATCTTAGGGTTGCTTCTTCCTGAAATATCTACAAAACCAAATGCCTGAATTCCTCTTCTCTTTCTTTTACTCCCAGCTCCTTTCTCCCTCCTCTTCTATTTTTAATCTCAGTGGTATATTCTTCATCCAACAAAATGACACAGTGTATCTACCATGTGCCCCCACTCTACCAAGCATTAGGACTACAGAGCAGAACAAAAGTCATACCACAATGCCTGCCTCCTGGAGCTTGTATCCATTTGGGGAAGACAGGCAGTAAACAGGCAGATCCAGGCAGTAAGGGAGATGGTGATAAATGCTATGCCAAGAAGAAAGGCTGAGAAGGGGGGTAGGGAGTCAAGGAATTTTAAATAGGGGGTAGGAAGGTGCCATATGAAGAAAGTCTTGAAAAAGTTACAGGACCAGCCAAGTAACTGTTTGAGGAAAGAGATTCTCAGCAGAGAATCTCAGCAGATTTTTAGTGAAAAATCCCTGAGGCAGAAGTCTGATGGACACTCAGAAGGCCAGAAAGGCAAGGTGAGCAGTAAGATGGCTAGAGGGGGAGGAGGCCAACTTTGCAGGGTCTTGTACAGCATTTACTCTGAGAGTGATGGGAGACCATTGCAGGCTTTTGAGCATAGTAATAACCTAACATGGTCTAACATGATTTTAAAGGATCACCCTGACTCTGATGTTAAGAAAAGACTAAAGTGGGAAAGGAGGAATCAGAGAGACTGGGTTTGAAGACACTTCCATAGACCCTGTAAGGAATGGCAATCTTAGACCCACATGGTGGCAATTGGGGTGGTGTGGTGAGAAGTAGTAGAAGTCTAGATATACTCTAAAAGTAGAATTTGCCAATGGTCTGAGTGTGGGGTATGGAAAAAAAAAAAAAAAGAGTGGAATAAAGAATGATTCCAAGATTTTTATCCCAGAATTACTTGAGGGATAGTGAAACTAGCAAGAGGAACATCTTTAGAGGAATAATTAGGAGTACAGTTTTGGATATAGTGAGTTTGAAATGCCTATTTAATCTCCAAGTAGAGATGCTGAGTACAATGCATGTGGTAAGCACAGAAGGGTGGTCCGTGATAAAGATATGTTTTGGCAGACATCAGAGAGTAGATAGGATTTAAAGTCATGAGCCAGTATGATATCACCAGGAGAATGAGTGTAGATAAAGGTGAAAAACGGCACAAAGACTGAGACCAGGAATACTTCAGTATTTCAATATTGAGGTAATGAGGAGAAACTGGCTAAGAAGACAGGAAAGAAGCAGTCAGTAAGCAAGTGTGGTATCCTGGAAATGAAAGGAAGGATGTGTATTAAGGGAGAGGGTATGTTCAAGTGTGTCAAATACTGCTTATAAGTCAAGTTAAATGAGGGCTGAGAACTTATCACTGGATTTAGCAACATGAAGGGCACAGTGGTGACATTGACAAGAGGTATTCTCTTGTTATTAGTGGTCTGTTTTTTTTCTCCCTCCTACCCATGCACTTGATAACTTGATCTAGGGAAAACAATGCAGAACCAAGCTTGATAGCTCAGGTCGAAAGCACATGTTCCCTTCCAAGCAGAATCCTAAGCATCCAGTCTAACACAAATTCCCCCAGGTACAGAACACACAGGAGGAACCATGTCACACACCAGAATAAAAAAAGGAAAACATCAGTCTAGCTTTCTCTGGGTCCTATGTGGTAGCAATATCTAGTTGCTTAAAACTTGTCATTTTCTATCCAGATGCTTGGTGCTCCCTCTTAACCAAAGATTCATTAATAATTCAAGGAATTACCAATTCAGTCCCATGGTAAATTTGGGGTACATGGGGTAGTTCACTTTCCACACAGATACATGGCCAAATCATTGGTAGACTTTGGCCTTAAATCAGGCTACAAAAGTGTTGACTGGTGGAAGCCCTCAAGATAAATCTCCCTTTGCCACCATGAGGATAGAAACTGTTTTTCATTTCTGTATCCCCAGCCCCAAGCACACTGCCTGGTATAGAGTAGATACTCAATTGAAAGACTGAAAGAAAGGATATTCTTTGAGTGTCTCAAAACAGAGGTGTGTCTACCCTAGCTCAAATGAGTTTTACTGAAGATTCAACTCATGTAAACAGCTAAACCAGATAATGGAGAACAGACAAAACACAGAAAAAAGGTTTTCTGACTATTTTTTCCATCCACAGAAATGCAATAAACTTAATTCTTGCTGCATCATTTCTTACTTGGAGCTATGTAGACCCTGCCTCTCTTCTGCTCCATCTCCTATCTCTGTAGGGGTTGTATCTATATAGATGTCTCCTTTGTAAGCCTCTTTCTGGAGCTGTTACCATCCTAACTTTCTGGTGGTTAGCCACACTTGCTATGAAAAAGTCTATTGAATTTATGATCAAAGCAAATTAATGTCCTCATAATGGCAATTGTGGTGCACTTATGGGAAAAAATAGGACTATAATATTTATGTGTTTATATGTTTTTAATGTTTATAGGTTTGATATTATAGCCCTGATCTTGATGAGACTAGGTGTGTCTGAGATTAGCTCATTGTTAAGAAGGTTATAGGCATGAAGAGTTTCTGCTAACTACCCAAGCTCATAAATGATTCCAAATGGCTTTTTTTAATTTTATGGGGCCAGTCCTCAGATCCCCACACACATAAAAGGGGTAAGAGGAAACCACTAGCCTCAGAGGGATTCTTAGCTCCAGTTTGCCCCACTCTACCCTTGTTCCTTTGCTCCCATCCAGGAAACCATCATGTCTTGCTGTTCCTACCGAGTGAGCTCTGGTCACCGGGTGGGCAACTTCAGCTCCTGCTCAGCAGTGACACCACAGAACCTGAATTGCTTCCGGGCCAGCTCTGTCGCCTGCAGAAGTGGGCCAGGATTCCGGGGCCTGGGTGCCTTTGGTAGTCGGAGTGTCACCACCTTTGGATCATACTCACCCCGAATAGCTGTAGGCCCTCGTCCCATCCGCTGTGGAGTTGGCTGCGGTGCTAGCAATAGGGTGGCCTTTGGCTTTGGTGATAGAAGTTGTATCGGTTTAGGTTTTGGTGTCGGCAGTGGTGTTGGTCTGGGGTTTGGAGCTGGCAGTGGCCTTGGCTATGGCTCCAGCGGTCCAGGCTTTGGCTACCGAGCTGGAGGAGTTGGAGTCCCAGCAGCCCCATCTATCACAGCTGTGACTGTTAACTCAAGCCTGCTGACCCCTCTCAACCTGGAGATTGACCCCAATGCCCAGAAAGTGAAGAAGGATGAGAAGGAGCAAATCAAGACCCTCAACAACAAATTTGCTTCCTTCATTGACAAGGTATTTATGATAGCCTAAAATCTGGGTCTGGGATGATGAGAGCTGAAATCCACTGCAGTGTTCTTTACCTTAAGAAGAATTGCCCCACGTCTGGTGCATTGACTGGCATCTCAGATATTTCTGGTGTCGAAAAAAATGCATCATGGTGTGATTTCTGTGTCTCTCTGCTGCAGAGTAAGGATGTGAGGACAAGTCTGAGGAAAAGCTGCATAGTGGGATAGACTAAAACAGTGATTGTGTCTTCTGGAGGAAAGTAGAACATTCAGCCAAATATGAGCATTTGGACAAATGAAGATCTACTACATGATCACTTAAAAATATCTCCCAAACATTAGGACTTCAGCAGATGTTGGCTGGTATATGTTTAAAAGGTTTTATTCTTTGGGATCTTCATATTCTTTTTGAGGTTTTCATAGTTTTTGCAACTAGGGAGGAACATGTACACAGGTCTAGAAAAGTGAAGAATGGAGCAAAGTAATTTTGTACTAAAAAAACAAAGAATGTATTAAATAATCTGAATTGTTTTATAATGAAATGTTTATTATCTGCATCTGTACAACCCAGATTATTATTTCTGATTCTCTGTTTACAGTATTGTAGACACAGCCTGAGTTTAAACTCTCCTAAGCTGTGAAACTCAGCCTGTTCACTGGGCATACGTAGTTAGGCAAACCATATCATTTGAAACCAAACAAAAAAATTTTGGGTTTTTTTTCCCCCAAGATTAAATTAAATCACTTGGGAGTCCGTAAAGGACAGAACACATAACCGTATCCACATGATGTATCAAGATTCAGGACAAGTTGCCTAGGTTGGGAGAAATAGTAGAGAATGACCGCTGGTTATCACTGATCTTCAGGCTAGGGTAGAAGTCAGTGATATGGACAATCCAAAAGAATGGACACTTTGCAAACCATGTCTCCAAGGAGCTTGAATGTTTTGTGTCTGAGAATGGCAATGAAACTGAGAGCTTCAGTTTTTTCAGCTCCAAAATGAAGGGTTAGAGCAAATGATCTTGAAGTTTTCCTCCAGCTCTACAACTCTTAGTAGATGGACTATCTGGAATGGTGGGCTTAAAACTTGGCAATTCCCACCTCCAGTACCATATGATGAAGTCTCATCCCATCCCAAATATATTTCACCCTCCTTCTCATTCTCTGGGAGCTCTGGTGGCATAGTGCCTAAGGCATTTGACTGCTAACCAGAAGGCTGGTGGTTCAAACCCACCAGCCACTCCTCAGAAGGAAGATTGGGCAATCTTTTTCTGTAGAGATACTACCTCAGAAACCCAAGGAGGGGTCACTATGAGTCGAATCAACTCAACAGCAGTGAGTTTGGTTTTTCTGGTTTTTGCAACTCATTTTCTGCTAGAATGGATGACAAAACTTTTTAGACATAGCCAAAGCATCAACTTAAGCATAATCAATCTTTCCAACTTCAAGTGTGTTGGTTCAAAAGTCTCTACTTATAGCTGAGCCTAGATAAGCATGAGAAGGGAGACAGAGATGTACAATTCCTGCTTCTATCAAGTTAGAGGAGAAGTGAGAGTCAGTAAAGGAGGGAACAATGTCAACATGTGGTTGAGAGTCATCTCTAGCCATTTGAAGAACTGGTCAACATGTGGGTAGTCCTATTGAGCACTTCAACTGCTATTTGTCTACCTATGTGCATTTAGGTGAGGTTCCTAGAGCAACAAAATAAGCTCCTGGAGACCAAGTGGAGCTTCCTCCAAGAGCAGAAGTGCACCAGAAGCAACCTGGAGCCCCTCTTTGATAACTACGTCAACAACCTGCGGAAGCAGCTGGACGCAGCAGCCAGTGACCGGGCCCGGTTAGAGGCTGAGAGGAACCACATGCAGGATGTCCTTGAGAACTTCAAGAAGAAGTGAGTGTCATCTGCACTGTGCAGTCTGAGGATGGGAGTAGGCTGGACTCAAAAGCAGCAGCCACACTCAGATGACAGCAGCTGGAAGGATCAGGGTTGATGTTCATTACAATATCCAGCCCAGGGGCATGGGTGGGGAACACTGACATGTAGAGTGGAAGGGAGAGGTTCCTTCTCAATTGTTCTTGAGAAATAAGACCTTGAATTAGTGATTATGGTCCATCGCTATGAGTCAGGATTGACTTGACAGCAATGAGTTTTGGGTTTTAACCATAGTTCTACCTGTACGAATAGGTGAGTTGACCCCATAAATAAGTAGTCTCTGCTCTTGAAAACAATGATCAGGGTCAACAGTGAATTAGGCCCTCCTTCCTCATGGTCAACTGCAATGACCATAAGTCTTTTACACAAGGAGCTCTGGTAGCATAGTGCCTAAGGCACTTGACTGCTAACCAGAGGCTGGTGGTTCAAACCCCCTAGCCACTCCTTGGAAAGAAGGTTGGACAATCTACTTCCGTAGTGATACCACCTTGGCAACCCAAGGAGGGGTCACTATGAGTCGGGTCTGACTCAACGGCACACAACAACAACAACATAGCAATAGTCCAGATTTCCAGATTCCAAATCCCAATTTGAGAAAGTAAAAGGTATTTGGAAAAACTGAGGGCTACTGGCTCATAAAATGTCTTAAAGGTGGGAGAGAGAGGATGATAGCATGTGGGTAGCAACAGAGAGCCATTCCTCTGACTGGAGCAAAGAAATCTTAAGTCAGAAGTAATTGACTCTCAGTTCAGAGTGAGAATTCACTTCCTTTTAATGCTCATTATCTCAAGTATGAAGAGAATTCACTCCCTTAATGCTTATTATCCCAGGTATGAAGAAGAGGTGAGCTTCCGGGCCAATGCTGAGAATGAGTTCGTGGCTCTGAAGAAGGTAAAGGGGAGCAATAGGCCCACAAATCTTCTTCTCCAGATAGGCAAATGTTCTCAAAATGTCCCAGGAAATTGCCAGGCAGCCTTATGGAGTCCGGGACCACTCACATAAAGATAGTAGAACCCCTAAGATCAAAACAGTTTCCCTTCAAAGGTTGAATTTAGCCTTGGATTATTTGGGATTAGTCTTCACAAAGCAAAGATCTAAAGAGATGACCTTTTAAGGGTTATCAATTATCCAGATTTCTCCTTGCCTCTAAATAAGCATCAGAACTGAGAGTGGATTAGGGCAAGCATCCAGCAGTCACTGGGAAGTTTTCACACTATAGAGGGGTATAGAGGGGAAAACGGCAATAGTCATCAAGCTTCATTTCACCCATGACTTTACCACCCATCCTGAAAGCCCTGTGGGAACTGGCCTGATCTTCCTACCCATCTCTGGACCTGCCAGGGAGGGAAGGTGAAGCAAATACAGAGGTAATGAGAATTTTATCCTTCTCTCCTTTATACAGGATGTGGATACAGCTTTCTTGAATAAGTCTGACCTGGAGGTTAATGTGGACACTCTCACTCAGGAAATTGATTTCCTGAAAATCCTGTACATGGAGGTAAGAACTCATCTTCTCTGAACTATTCATGGAGACCAGAGCTTGGCCTGAACTCCCAAAGGGCTCAGTTTGGGATGGCATACTTTCAAGCATATGGGGTCAACAAATTTTCTCCCACTCAAATCTATACGTTCTATTTGTTGGTGTGCTAAGAAAAGAAGGTAAAGTAAGCAGACTTCTCAACAGCCTGATTCAAGCCTTTGAATAAACTCTTCGAATCTATAGGATCAAAATCCTTATTGGCCAATTCAAAGAGTGGGATCTAGGACTCTCAAGTTCCATTTACCAATTAAAAGCTCTGGAAAACTGATTTTACTTTTGCTTTATAAGTGGTTTATTTGGTCTGCTATAGATCCATCCAGGAGCTCTGGTGGTGTAGTGCCTAAAGCATTTGACTGCTAACTAGAAGGCTGGTGGCTCCAACCCACCAGCCATTCCTCAGAAGGAAGGTTGGGCAACCTACTTCTGTAGTGATACTGCCTCAGAAACCCAAGGAGGGGTCGCTATGGGTCAGATCCAACTTGATGGCAGTGAGTTTGGTTTATAGACCCGTCTGCTATAGCAAGAATTGTGAGGCTGGCACAGGACACATAGGGTCGCTATAAGTTGGAGCCAACTCAACAGCACCTGACAATAAATAGACCTATCCAGAGAAAAAATTCTAGAACTGAGTAGAAAGGCTGAAGAAAATTCCCTCACTTTGCAGGCCAGTTCCAAGGTTCCTGGTTTTAGAAAAGGCTTAGATTCTTTTGGTGGGAAAAGGAGCCCTGCTAGAGCATAAGCTTTTTAAATTGTTATTATCCACAAAGTGGCTGTGCTGTCCATAGATTGTTGTACTCTCTCCTCCACCAAGTTCCTAGGGCCCCGGGGTTTAATATTCATCTAAGCAATGTTAAAGGAACTCTCGTGGCACAGTGGCTAAAGCAAAAGGTCAGCAGTGCAAACCCACCAGCTGCTCTGTGTGAGAAAAACAAGGCATTCTGCTTCCATAAAGAGTTACAGCATTGGAAACCCTATGGGGCAGTTCTATTCTTAAGGGGTTGCTATGATTTGGAATCAACTCCATGGCAGCAGATTTTTTTGGTTTGGATTTTAAGCAATGTTAAGTGAGAATTAGTTGAGAATGATAAAGGGATGCTTTCAAAAGGTATAACGAGCATTCAAAAGTCAAACTGAAATGGTTCTCAGATCTATCTTTTCATGGCCCCCTGTTTGGATTATCTGTTGCTCTGCTTTACTTTGAACCAAAGAGCAAGAGCTGGCTGCAAATGCTCTCTGCTTCTGGCATCCTGGGGACTCCAGGAGCCCTGGGGCCTAGTCCAGGTCACTGAAAGGGGCTCTGAGCCCATCTGTCTTGCTGGTCCTCCAACACAGGAGATCCAGTTGCTGCAGTCACACATCTCAGAGACATCAGTCATTGTGAAGATGGACAACAGCCGGAACCTGGACCTCAATGGGATCATTGCCGATATCAAGGCCCAGTATGAGGAGATCGCCAGGCGTAGCCGGGCTGATGCTGAGGCCTGGTACCAGACCAAGGTGGGCAAGGAAGGGTTGCAGGCAAGCTGGGTAGTAAAATTATATACAACAGACTGGGCCCAGCAGAGGTCTGAGGTCCCCAACTTAGTGGTGTCCATGGTCTTGACCTGACCTTTGAACTTTTGCCACACCACCACCCGCAGTATGAAGAGATGCAGGTGACAGCCAGCCAGCACTGTGACAATTTGCGCAACACACGGGATGAGATCAATGAGCTGACCCGCCTGATCCAGAGGCTGAAGACGGAGATCGAGCATGCCAAGGCTCAGGTAGAAAAAGGAGATGAGAGGAATCCCCAGATGGTGGAGGGGTAAATCCCCAAGTTTGGGAGGCCCCAGGTCAGATGATAGAGAGGAGACTCAAAAACAGAGGGATAGAGGGAGTCATCTAAGAATGCTTTCTAGAGAAAGAATATGTGGAAGGAATGAAAGAAAAGACTGAGAGTGGACTCTGAGGGAAGGTGAGGCAAAAAAAAAAAAAAAAAAAAGGTTTACTCTCTGGACCCCATGGGTCTTATGGCTAGAAATTAAAGAGCAAAATCAGAAGAGGTAGAAACAGAAAAAAGCAATGCTTGTCCCCTGATGACATCAAACCATAGTCATTAATCTGTGGGAAGGCAACTACCAGAAGAAGGTCTACCCTCAACCTGGCACCAGTCTGTGTTCCCACCAGCAGGGAGCAGGATTTCTAATTCCACCTAGGGATCCCTTGGCCCCTGCCAAAGCCCACCTGCAATGTGTCCTCCCTGCAGCGTGCCAAGCTGGAGGCCGCAGTGGCCGAGGCAGAGCAGCAGGGTGAGACAGCCCTCACTGATGCCAAGTGCAAGCTGGCTGAGCTGGAGGCCGCCCTGCAGCAAGCCAAGCAGGACATGGCGCGGCAGCTGCGTGAGTACCAGGAGCTGATGAACGTCAAGCTGGCCCTGGACATTGAGATCGCCACCTACAGACAGCTGCTGGAGGGCGAGGAGAGCCGGTGAGTGCTCTCAGTGCAGCATAAGGGGGTGAGATCAGACTTAGGCATCCAGGAAGAGTGACTAAGGGGGAGAACCTGGTGAAGAATTGCTGAAATGTGCAATCTCTAGAGGTGATGATACCTTTTCTGTAAACATTAGTCTGAGGTTGCCCTTGGCAAGGGATGAGAGGAAGGCTCTAGATTTCTGTCCCCCAAATGCAAGTTTGTAGACAGGTTGCACCAGAAACACAGGGTGTTATACTTGGTTGGTTAATTTGTTAAAAATAACAATAATACATTTTCTCAAATATTTTGATTTAATAGTTTTGGGATCCAGGACCATGTAGTTTTTCACAGCCCAGATGCATACACAGCCAGGGGTGAGAGCTACTGGTCCACTTGACCCCTCAGCTAAGAAAGCCCTTTTACTATCCTTTCACTGTTTTGGGGGAACAACAACACTTACTTGTGAATTGACTTGTTTCTTCCTCTCTCCAGGATTTGCGAAGGTGTTGGACCAGTGAACATATGTAAGAAAATTAAATCTTTTCCCTCTTGATAAGTTTATTTCCAACTTGCCTTTAAACTCAGGCCCACTGTGGGGTCAGGATCCTACCAAAAAGATGTCAGAGTCAAGGGAGGAAAGAGGCATTATGTGGCTCTTGGCCTGGGAACCCACCCTTAGCGGAGGCCTGAGGTCTGCCCAGCGCCTGCCTTCCCCAGAGTAAAGCATTCACAAAGGTTTTTGTGAGCTACAAGGTTCCAGGAAGGAGTCAGCCTTTCTTGCTCTGAGTGGCCTTGTCCTTCATGGGCAAAAGCCAAAGAAAGAATGGAAAGACCTGTGCCAGGGAATTTTCTCATTGCTAATGGCAAAGGAGGGGATAAGGCTGAACAGAAGTCCCAACTGCTGCTGATGTCAAAGCACTCGTTGTGTCCAAAGCATGCAGGACTCTGTGCTGAGTACTGTGAAATGAGAGCACAAGGAAGTTCAAGAGCCACCCCTGCTCTCTGCAATTACGGTCTTCTTCAGAAGATGAGTCCTACCTCCCATCAAACTAATCCTTAAAGGATCTCTGGAGAAGGGAGCAGGCATGGATATGCCTGCTCACCCAGAGACAATACATGATTTGCCCAAAGTCACAAAACTAGTCAGTGAGTGGCACAGGCAGAGTTTAAACCCAGGTTTCCAATTCCAAAATCACAAGCATACACATACACTAGTGTGTGGTGGAACCGAGTGCTTAAATGGGCGGGTCAGAGTGCCAGAGCTCCTTGTGCTCAGAAAAAAAGCATCCACATTAAGGAGTCAGTAGGAACGGCTTAGGGCAGGAGGTTAGCCTTGCTGGACATCACAGATGATAGGAAGCATTCTGCTAAGAGGAGAGGGCAGGAGAGGCTGTGTCTCGAGGAATGGTTTAAACAAAGTTTAGTTGGGGGAAGACCAGAAGGCTACACACAGAGCAGAAACAATGAGTAACCTTTCTGATGGTTTCTTCCTTTTGCAGCTGTAAGCAGCTCCCGAGGAGGCGTGGTGTGTGGCCCCGAGCTCTTTGTCTCCAGCTCCGCCCTCTCCCGCGGCGGGGTCACCTTTTCTGGCGGTAGCAGCAGCCTCCGAGCCCTCGGAGGGGTCCTGACTTCCGGCGGCTCCTGTGGCTCTAACTTAGGCGGGGCCCGGGGGATAGTGGCCAGCGGCGACCTGCTGGGAGGCGGCACCAGGGCGGGCTCAGTGCTCATGGGCGAAGCCTGCGCCCCTAGTGTTCCCTGCCTCCTGCCAACCGAGGGGGGCTTCAGCAGTTGCAGCGGCGGCCGTGGAAGCCGCGGTTCGAATGTCCGCTTTGTGTCCAGCACCACATCCCGCCGGACCAAGTACTGAGAGCCAAGCCCCAGGCAGCCACTGCCAAGAGAGGAACCAGCTCAGCGTCCCTTGCTTCTGTCCCCTGAGGTGTATGGACTCGGTGCCTGAGGTGTCTCCAGCCACCCTTCTGCAAGAAGCTGCCATTGGGCTCTTCTCAGTGGCTACACTGCCTGGTCAGGATTTGCCACCAAGTAGATACTCAATCTGCAACCGGACTCCTCATTTACTTCCTTTGGATCACTCCACCATCCAGATGAACAGACTCAAGAAATGCAAATTTAATAGATACTAGAATTATAAAAATCAGCCCACAGAGAAGAAAAGGAACAGTTCAAAGCCAAAAAGAATGTATTTGGGCATCATCATCATCATCACCACCATCATCATTGTGGCTTTGGACTAATTTGGGGGATGGAGAGTTAGCTGACTGTCCACATGCAAACATCTTTAGCCCACCATCCTCTGCTTCCTTCCTCGTCCTTTCCCTAGCAGGAGAAGGTTCTTTCCTTCCCTTCATGACCCAGAAGGATCCAAAGTCCTTGGTGGCCCAAGGAATCCCTAAGTCCCCTGAAACAGTTCTTCTCTCAGTGGCTTATGTCCTAGCTTTGTCTTCCTGGGTTGTTGGTTTAACTCAGGCCTGAGTTCACAGGTGAGTGGAGTGCAAGTGGGGAGATGGGCTCTGCAGCACTCCAGGCACCCGTGCCTCATTGTGGTGTGAGACCCAGCCCTGTCTACTGAAGGCAGGTTTGTGTCTAAAGGCTCCAGAGAGGGCTGGGAGTGACAGTGGTGTGCGTGTTTGTACTTACTCTTTGTGTTCCCGGGGTTTTCAATAAACTTGCCAAGCTACCTTCATGAAGACTCTGGTCTAGCCTTCTTGGATTACACTGGGGTTGGGGAAGGTGGCTTCCTAGACTCTAGCCAGCCAGCCCACCCTACTGAGGACCTACCAAGGGCAGAGTCTCATGTCCTGGGCATAGGAGACACACTGAGGAAAAAGGAGTCAGGTCCTTGCCTGGGGGGCTCACAGTCCAGCAAGGGAGAAGAGACACGTACCAAAGGCTCTGAAAACAAGGGCCAAGCAGCCTACTTTTCTCCAGGAATGCCTCACACTCACAGGTGTCCTCCTCCTAGTCAAGGCAAACCTTACCTACCACCCGTTCCCCAGGTCCCATCCCATCCAGTTCCTCTAAGATCATTGCAGGAATCCACTAGTCTTTCTGCTCCTACTCTTATCCCCATGCTACTCATTTACTATGATGCTGAAGGTCCCTGGTGGCACAAATAGTTTGTTCTTGGCTACTAACCAAAAGATTGGCAGTTCAAACACAGCAGTGTCATGGAAGAAAGGTTTGGTAATCTGCCTCCATAAAGATTACAGCCAAGAAAACCCTATAGAACTCAGTTCTCATCTGTAACACATGGGGTTTCCATGCTGCTGGAGAGATCTTTCTCACATAGAAAACTGATCATGGCTCTCCCCTGCTTATGGTCCTCAGTAGTTCCCTATTGCCTTTCAGAACTAAACCAAACTCCTTAAGATGGCATGCAAGCCCTGTGTGATCTGCTTATACATTTTCACCTCCCGTCGTCTCAGTGGACCCTGCTTCCAATGTTTCACCCTTTTTTCATTCATTCAACAAACATTTGATAAGTGCTTACTATAACATAGGAATGATTCTGGTACTAGTGAATTCTGATACTAGTGAACAAGATTTGTGTTCTTGCCCTAAAGAGCCTATAGGATAGTCTGACAGATGGACTAGTAAACAAGCAATTATTACTCAATATGGTCAGTGCCATATTAAGAATAGAACCAATGTTACAATGGACAGAGGAGAAGCCCAACCTAGACTTGGGGTTTCGTTGAAAGTTTCCTGAAGGATGTGATATTAAGGATGATGAGTCAGTCTTACTAAGAAGGGGAAGTATCCCAAGCAGAGGCCATAGCCTGTGCAAGACCGAGAAGTTAAAGAGAAAATGGCAAGTCAAATTGAGTATGACTATAACATAGAATGCAATAAATAGCACAAGGTGGGGTCAGGAATCAGCCAAGACATACTCATGACCAGACCCTGGGCAAAACTCATTAGGGCACATAATTAATAATAGCAATTGTTTGCTGGTCTGCCTCACCTCAGCAGAGTCTTCTTTCTTAGAGAGCAGGAAGCACATCTTTCATCTTCATATTTTCGGCCTTGCCAGACCTCAGCCAGAAAGCTTCACTACAGGTTACTCTATTCATAGCCTAAGGTATGCCTGACCTTGGACTCATTAGCCGACCTGACCTCCAGCTTCCAGGAGCTCCTGACCTCCCATCTCATCTCCATATGAAAAGTCACACACACTTCTCAGAAAGCAGTAACATCAAGGCTACCTCCACTTGATCAGTGGTACGTCTCCTCAGCTACAGCTACATCTACCCTGTGCTTGTTATCAATTTATTGTCTCAACTCCAAATTCA